TTATATTTGCTTAATTCCTGTGACAACTGAGTCATCTTATATTTGTTTTATTCCTGTGCCAACTGGGTCATCTTATATTTCCTTCATTCCTGTGAAAACTGGGTCATCTTATATTTGCTTCATTCCTGTGACAACTGGGTCATCTTATATTTGCTTTGTTCCTGTGCCAGCTGGGTCATCTTATATTTGCTTTGTTCCTGTGCCAGCTGGGTCATCTTATATTTCCTTCATTCCTGTGACAACTGGGTCATCTTATATTTGCTTTGTTCCTGTGCCAGCTGGGTCATCTTATATTTGCTTCGTTCCTGTGCCAACTGGGTCATCTTATATTTGCTTTGTTCCTGTGCCAGCTGGGTCATCTTATATTTGCTTTATTCCTGTGCCAACTGGGACATCTTATATTTGCTTTGTTCCTGTGCCAACTGAGTCATCTTATTTCTCTTATCCCTGTGACAACTGTGCCAACTGAGTCATCTTATATTTGCTTTGTTCCTGTGTGACAACTGGGACATCTTATATTTGCTTTGTTCCTGTGCCAATTGGGTTATATATATATATATATATATATATATATATATATATATATATATATATATATATATATATATATATATATATATATATATATATATATGAAAATATGTGGTCAGATAAAGTCTCGCCCCCATAGCGGCCATCATTGATAGCATTCAGAATATTACACCAAATTCCACTTCCACGATTCAAACGCTCCTGGGAAATAAAATACTATACATTGTGAAGAACAATTATCACACAACACATCTATACATGACCACCCTATCTGGTTGACCAAAGGCACTGACTTCGACACAGGTTCACCTTTAGTGGCCGGTCACACCTGAGTCTCACAATACCTGTGGAGACCGCTATTACCTGTGACTATCACAAACCTCAGGTAGCCTGGACCTTTTGCACTTGCCTCTGTCATCATCATCAAGTGCCTTGACGACTGGCATGGGTGATGATGTCTCTGACATCGGGTACACTTTAATACTGAAAAGTGAGTTCAGCACACAACATCATGCTCTCCAAGCATGGCTCTGTGATTTTTTGCTAAAAGCTGAAGGTGCTACTGAATATGACACATCTCGGGGTGGGTAATTGTATTTTTCCTGATCGCAGGACTCATTTCATATTTTTTGTGTATAAGATGCTGCATGTATAAGATGACACACATTTTTTAAAGCCCAGATTTAGGAAATAAATATTTTAATCTACTCTATGTGTAAGACGGCCATGGTTGTAAACTTAAAAAAATTCAGTATTGATTAATCTCATTGCTTCTATAAAACTACAATCAATATATTACTGAATGCTGATTACTGGTTTGAGAATCGACATCCTAGCACAATGGGCATACCCTTAGGTGCTCTGTCTCCCATTGCAATTGTCTTAAGGTGTAGATACTAATTGTTCCCGTAGCACACCAATTATAAACTTGTTATTCTCTTTATCTCTCACATCCCCCCTTGCCTGATCCACACCTTATTCCTCATTCATGTATTCTAACACATGTTAATTTATCTAACCTCATGTTTTCTATTAGCATTCAATAATAAATGGTCTTTAGAATGTCCTTTTTGTGCAGTACAAGTGTTCCTGTAGCTATCACTTCTGTAGCCAGAAAATATGATCGTTCATTTCCTCACACTCCAGCATATCCAGGACAGTATATCCACATAATATCCCTGTAGTATTGATATGAAGATGCTTGGTATCCACTCCTGGCACATTTGTTAGTTTTGGACAGTCCGCAGTACCAACTGAGAATCAGTCACTATAATTCCTCTGGTGACTCTTTTTTCTGCTATCCACTTCAGAGCTGCAGTGATTGCCTCCCCCTCTATTCTCATGCCTGTAGATAAAAAAAAAGCACCATTTTGTTTTGCCACGATCTTTTCCCTCAATTCAAAAACATGTATTGACACTTAAAAGTACTTGACAGTTTCAAGCAAGCACCTAATTAATGACACATAAATCACATACCTGGTTTCTTGTATAAGTCTTTCTCTCTGCTCCTCCAGTTCTTTTCTCTCATACTTGACAATGACACTGAGGAGCTGATCTTCCAGACCCTGACAAAAAAAATAAACAACAGACCCTGACAGAAAATATAATCAACAGACTCTGACAGAAAATATTAACAACAGACCCTGACAGAATATTTAAACAAGTGTGTTGTGTTGTCGCCTGACTGTTAATCAGTTATTTCCAGAAAAAATTTAATGGGACAGTTTTTCCTGGACATGAATTTATTTAATCCTTTAGGCCCAGAAACACTTGGGGAAAATGCTATGAACTCGGGAATTCCTGAAAAAATCCATAAAAACAAAGGTCCATAATAAATGAAAAAAATTAAGAAAATTATTTATACACATTTTAACAATTAAAAAAGTAGTAAATAAACATAAAAAGAATGCATTTCTTTGGGCTTTAAAATATATGCTCACTCACACTGTGACCATGTCACTATGTGAACACTAAAGCTAAATTATGACATCATAATGCCTAAAAAGCAATTTCTTGTTCACAAAAGTTACTCCCTATCAATGCTATTTAAGTAAATAAAATCTCAGTGCTGTTTGGTCTGTAAAAATTAAAATCTAGTCTGACCAGCCAGTGGTGTGAAAAAGACACTTCACATTTTCCATTTTCAACATCTGCTGTCAAAACTTCTAGGACTGAAATAGATAATTATGCTCACAAGCATGCACATGCATGCACACACAGACAATTATAAACTTTTAAAGCAACTGAACTTTGACCTTATTTAGAAGAATGAACAAGTGTCCAACATACTTTCAGTGTTACTGTATAGTTGATGACCATGGATTTCCCAAAAATGTTTGGTCCATATTTTGGGTTTGCCAGTTTGGTGTTTAGGTAAAGTCTGAAATTGGGATCAATGTCCACTTCCTTGTCTCCCAGCATCACAAACTCACGACCTTGATTACCTTTGAATTAGAAAATATGTTCTAGTATTTAAGTCCCAACAAGAAAAAAAAAAACAATAAATTAACACTTAATAACAATTTTTAGTTTTAGAAAATGAATACTTTTTAGTAATTAAATCACAAAATGATAGTACAAGAATAATTATAAACTAATAAATAATAGCAATTCCCAATACTAAAAAAACAATCCTTTCTGGTAAATCAACATTTAATAGGGCAATAATATCTACAAACTAACAACAATTACTGACAATTGCCAATAACACAAACACACATCTCCATATATCATAATTATAAAAGTGAAGGATTGAGCAGGGTATTTCTGATAAAATTACCACTACAAATATCACTGGAATATAATGAAAAACTTGTAGGTTCCAACAATAAACAGGTAAAAAAAAAAAAAAAGAAGTCAGGTTCTCTAGAAGTGTATTGTTGTAATTGTCATCTTATGTCCTTAGTTGATAGTCAAGGTTCAAACACTGCTGCAGACGGGTCTGCCCAAATCTGTTCTGTTTCCGTGCCAGTGAAAATCACAACAAATGTCTTTCACTGTTCCATGTGAAAAACTGGTGAAAAATCTTGAAGCTTGTGGTTGCAAAGTAGATGCATAAGGCAGTCATCAAACGTACCAACACTAACAGTCTAACAACAGAATTGCAGCCCACTGTTGATGCAAGCATGAAAGTCAGCTTAAGTACATGCGATTCCAAATGAAATTAGCAACCTGCCTTTTTCAGTGCAGTTTAGAACATAAGTCGCCACAGAAACAATAGAATAATCATTCCTAATTTAATCTACAGCTTACAGTGTTGCACCAAGCACTCTACCCAATAGTTGGGCGATGAGACGATTGGCCCTCTAGTCCAGAAATGGGGAAACTGCATCAGAAAACCATAGCTAGAAGCAAAAAACTTTTCAAACTGTCAGGGCCAGCTCACCTATCAGCTCCATTGAATATGAAATCAGAATTTTGAAAGTGGTGGCTGTAGTATGCTACAAGTTTTATACCTTTTATATTCTTCTCCAGAACATTATCAATGACAGGATCTATGTACTCATCCACATCTTGAAACAAAAATGGGAAGCCATATTTGATGGCTAGTTCCAACTGCTTCAGGAAGTCTGGGTCATTGAATGTGCAAACCTGATGACAAATGTATAACATGTCATTTCAATAAATCGCAGAAACCTGGTTTACTCAGAGTGTTAAACATTTTGTAAAAAACATGATACCCTGCTAGACTGCAGAAAGAATATATGGTCATTAAATATATGGAATAAATAACATATTATGCATGCAATGTTCTTTTATGTGTGGACAATACGGTATAAAGTTGTCCCAAATCATTAAAAACTGAGAAATATAAACGTTCTAAGCCTTTTCTGCCTTTTTTCTTTGTTTTAAAATGATAGTGTAGTTGAAACTCCCCCTTTTTTTAATGATTGTGTAGTTGTAACACCTTAAAAAAAATTAATGTGTAGTTGTGTAGTTGTAACACCTTTAAAAAAATTAATGTGCAAAACACCTTTTTTTTTTTCCAAAGGTTGGAAATTAGTTTAAAGAAAGTACTTTTTGTTGAAATAGTCTTCTTCTTCTTTTTCTTCTTCTTCTTCTTCTTCTTCTTCTTCTTCTTCTTCTTCTTCTTCTTCTTCTTCTTCTTCTTCTTCTTCTTTTCTTCTTCTTCTTTCTTCTTCTTCTTCTTCTTCTTCTTCTTCTTCTTCTTCTTCTTCTTCTTCTTCTTCTTCTTCTTCTTCTTCTTCTTCTTCTTCTTCTTCTTCTTCTTCTTCTTCTTCTTCTTTTTCTTCTTCTTCTTCTGTGTTTACCCTTGAAAGGGCAGCTGGCACCTTGTGCTGGGGTTTACAGGTAGGCTGTAAAACTCTCCTGTGTGTGCAGTTACCTTCATATTCATTGCAAGGCATGCAAGTGTTGTTGGTAATGAGAGAACTGATAGATTGGCAGGCACTGCATTAATTAAAGATGGCCGGCCCATGGATCACGCAGACATTGTCATTGCTTTTAGAGCGATAGGACGTTCTGAGGATTTTGGAAGCAATGTGTCCACATCATAGCCAAGCATGAGAAGCACACTGGACACACACAAGGTCTTGTTAACCAACATAGGACTGGCACTATAAAACGTGTGACGTTGATGAATCAGCGTGGAATCTGAGCGCCTATGGATGTATCCAGAGTGCTGTGAAGATAATCTAATTCCTAACTCAAATAGGCTGCAATATTTGCATGGAATAATCTCGCAGCACATTCATTTAGGAAAATCATAAATTAGTGACTTTCTATGACATGGTTTTAAGGACCAAAGGGTATACTTACCCTACCCCAACCCCAATAAATAAATGGGACTGCAGAACCTTATTATGTTATCAAACTGCATTATGAAAACACAGGTATTGGTGCACTCAATTTTGCATCTGAGTTGAGTTGTGTTGATTTAAGAACCGACATGACAGCACTCAGGGCATTCCTATAAGTGCTCCATCCCCATCCTCAGGAGCCAGTGTAGAGTTCCAATCCAAATGGTGCCAGTAGCCACTTGAGTCCGTGGAACTAGTGGAAGATAGGTTCAGGGAATACAGGTGGAGACTGATGGTCTAATTTTTCCATCTTCATGTTATTTGTGCAAATTTAAATTTCAATTATAAATTAAATAATTAACTGATTTTAATTAAAATGTCATCCTTCTGGAGAAAAGACACACGGACCATCAATCATGTTGCAACTGCAAAGAAACGCTTGTAGCAACTAACCTTGAGATTGTTTGGCTCCTCTTTTTTCTTGATCCAGTTGACAGCCTGCTGTTGAGGGTCTATACACAAGGGGAACCTGCTGCAGCGAGTGGTCAAGATGCCATTCTGTATGGACAATTCATCTGGAGGAAGACCTTCTGATGTCCACCTAAGCAGTATTAATAAAAACAAATCAGTCAATGTAAATGATGCTATTTATGTCGTTTTAGTATGAGCATTTGCAGGAATACATTGGATTGATGAGAAAAAATAATGAGAAGATAAAAAGTTTATCTGGATGGACTGGTCGCATGAATGGGGAAGGATAAGAACACTGAGCTGATCCATGATTCCAGTAATCATTTGGGATGATGACTTACCAGAGGACACATGATAATGGTGGATACATTAACTCATTGAGTACCAAGCAGGTCACTGTGTGTTTATCCTATGACTTCCTGACATAGGCAACCATCAGTCCCTATAATGGCACCACTGCTTTTGGGAACAGCATCTGTTATGACTGTGTGGGAACTGCATCTGTTATGACTGTGTGGGAACTGCATCTGTTATGACTGTGTGGGAACAGCATCTGTTATGACTGTGTGGGAACAGCATCTGTTATGACTGTGTGGGAACAGCATCTGTTATGACTGTGTAGGAACAGCATCTGTTATGACTGTGTGGGAACAGCATCTGTTATGACTGTGTGGGAACAGCATCTGTTATGACTGTGTGGGAACAGCATCTGTTATGACTGTGTGGGAACAGCAACTGTTATGACTGTGAAGTCCTTTGTGGGAGTGGCAGTCTCTGCCAAATAGTCTACATAAAAAACAAAAAACCTGGATCCTCTGATATACTGAAGCTGGCTTTGTCTAAGAAGTGTCCAGTCTACAGCTTGCTGTGCTGGCCTCTTACAAAGGGCAACAATTTGTCTTTCACTGTTTGCCTCCATAGGAGTCGGTCTGCAGCTGATCCCTCCCAGATGTCTCTGTCAATGCTGGCCTCTTTCAGGTCATGCTTGCATTTGTCCTTACAGTAGATCTTTTCCTTATTTCTAGTTCATCACAAGGAGCTCCTCTGGAATACAACCGTCCTCCATAAGGGACACAACTCCCAATCACTGCAGGTCTCTTTGTGAAGGATCCTTTTCTAAACCTTTAGGCATAACTAGCATTTAGTACTTGACCTACATGTTATAGACTAATCAGCTTTTGGTGAGTGGTCTTGTTAACAACATGTAATACGTCTGTCTGTCTGTCTGTCTGTCTGTCTGTCTGTCTGTCTGTCTGTCTGTCTGTCTGTCTGTCTGTCTGTCTGTCTGTCTGTCTGTCTGTCTGTCTGTCTGTCTGTCTGTCTGTCTGTCTGTCTGTCTGTCTGTCTGTCTGTCTGTCTGTCTGTCTGTCTGTCTGTCTGTCTGTCTGTCTGTCTGTCTGTCTGTCTGTCTGTCTGTCTGTCTGTCTGTCTGTCTGTCTGTCTGTCTGTCTGTCTGTCGGAACTTCCTTCTCAGATCAGCTGCCAACCAAGGCTGCAAATTATTTAACCCTAAGTAATATCTGACATTTTATTTTGTAAACATAATCATACCCACCATTTCTACACACTGTGCAGTTGTAACCAGCATCAACGCTGTTAAGGCAGTCACCCAAGAGTTGAACTCTCTTTTTCTTCAGCTTTTCAAGGTCTTTTGTCCATCTGGAGCAGTAAGAAGCACAAATTAAATAAAGTTTAGAAGAAGCAAGAAACCTCTTTTTTTTTTTTTCTTAAACAAAGAAGGCACAAACAATATATTGCACAATTTATTGCCTGACATATTTTGCTGTATCTTATGTACCTTAAAGTAATAACTGAATAAAATGAATCATTTTACTGAAATACAATATCAGCTACACTCTAAAGAAACTGTTTTACCAGGGCAAAAGCAGGTTCACTATTATGTCTTTTTGTTTACACAAATCGGGATGGAATACATTTTTTCATTAAATTTCTTTCACAATAACAACAGTGTAGACCATGCACTGACCAAAGTTGAGGGGGGGGGGGGGGGGGGGGAGGGAAGCCATGGTAACACAGTGGCTAAACACATGCCTTCCAGCCAGAAGGCCTATGGTTCAAATCCCCATCAAGATGTATTTTTTTTAAAAACTCACCCTGGCACCCAGGGTTACCCAGTCTGAAATTGGTACCAGATAATGTCCTGGAAAGTAAAGGCTGGCAGTGCCATGCTGACCATATCACCCAATCAATGCTGATTGGTCTATCCATATCACCCAATCAATGCTGATTGGTCTATTAAAATAAAGATCTAAAACAAAATGCTTGATGTACCAGACAGGTGATGATAAGGGTTGCTTACTTTATTTATTACAAGATAGATCACATTGTGGTCTAAGGAGAATGGCGCTGAAAGGAATTACCAGGTGATATGGCCAAAGCTCAACACTTAAGGGAAAGGTAAGACTGCGGGTTCTTTCCTCTTGACTGGTCTCAACACCCTAGAAGAATCACTGAGCTGTGCATGTAGCAAGCTGGGTATGTGCTCTGCCACTCTATTTCCAAGCTGTCTCTCTGTTCGACCGATGTAAGTCAACTGGCACTTACATGTAAATTGGTAAATACTATTAGATTTGATGTTTGGAGAAAGGAGCCGTTTAATAGGTGGGGTTGGGATAGGAGTGGTCTTGTACCTCACTACTGGAACAGCCGCAAAGAATGTTTGGCCAACTGCTGTTTTCAGTCGGTCCTGCAGACGCTGCATGACGTCATCACCTCCATAAGTAAGTTGGATATATACTCGTAGTTTGGATACTGTAATTTCGTTCTGGGTAGGGTTGGGTGGGGTGCAATGACAATCAGATAGTTACTGGTACCATCAAAATTGGAACTCTTTGCTTGTTTCTGAAGATAAGGGAGAGAGCGTTTATGGGAGTGTCTTGAGTGCTGTGATATAAATTCTTAATTCAACATTTAACATTCAACATTACAAGTTAACACAGCTGTGGTGGTGAATGATGACGATGACATTAAACCCCACCAGGACTTCACCCAGAGCGATAAAACACTCGGTGACCCAAAGTGACACCATTCGGATGAGGATCACCTGGGGGCAGGTCCCATAAACTTTGTTTAACCTATAATTGAATTATATTAGGGCCCCCGGCAACATCCAGGGTGGGGCTCTAAAAAAACAACAAAATTGCATCTGACATTGGGATGCAGAATCTAGTAACAGTGACCAGTAATAGTGGTGAAATGGCAGCCATCATGTTTGCCTGCTGTGCAAGTGGTCAAGCTAAAATTCTTTTTTTTTTTCCTTGTATGTAACACTGTTGGGGACAGAAAGAATAAACCCACCACCTCCCTAACAAGCCTGGTGTAAGAGTTGACGAATTAAGTGTTTCCTTCAACTACATTTGTCTGAGAGGCAAGGAACCAACAGTCTGCATACAAATGAGCCAGATCTGTAAAATAGGATGTGCACGCAAAAGTTCTGGAACTTTCTGCAGGAGTTAACAGCAGTTCAATGTAAACAAGAAGAAGAAGAGAACTAATCCCTTTTTAGGTATGGATTTTAAAATGAACTTGTAAAATGAGCATCAGGAAAAATTCAGAGAAGCGTCTGACAACACTAGTCGACACACTGTACCCCAAACATACATGTTGTCAAAGGCGACTAATAACGGGTTTGCCGAAATCACATGTGTTGGACCAAAAAGTACAGATATTGCAGCCTAGCTGTAAACCACAACACAACATCATGCCAAAGACCCTTTTAAAATCCAATGCAGAAGAAGAAGACTCACCTGATATTCTCAGAGCCAAGACCAGAAATGAGTTTGTCAGCAGCAATCAGCCGCCTTTCCATGATCCGTGTCTCATCTTCCAGCGCCTGTTTCTCGACCATTGCTTCCTCATATTTCTTGTTCAGTCCTTGTAACTCTTCTTCTAGAGCACTCACTTCCTTGGTGACTTTCTCCAAGTCCCGTGTGGCCTGTTGAAAGGTACAGGAAATTAGGCTGTGCATTCATGTCTTATCTCCTTTGATGAAAAGTTTTGTTCAAGAAATAATTTAAACTCTTTCTGCACCGAACAACTCATTTTACATTTTTTGGACCTTCCAAAAACGATGTGAAGCTTTTGCTGGTCTCTATCACAGACAGATGTTATATTAACCCTTTGTATGTGAACTTTGAGTTTAATTACATCTGGGTCTTTTAATCAAACATGAGTTTTTATTGATTTTATTATTGATTTGGAATAGAAAGAGTTAAAATAACTGCTTAGGACTTGAAAAGTTAAATAACATTTTTCCATAGATACTACTGCTCCCCCCCCCCACCCCCCCCCCCCCCCCCCCCGCCCGCCCCCTTTTAATTTTGTTTTTAACCTCTGAGCATCAGAATACGAAGCATCATGTATGGTCTTTACACTATTCCTTTCTTTCCGCCATTCCTATTTTTTCCTGGTGAGCATTAGGAAGAAGAATAAATTTATTGAGTGTGAATTATGACATGCTACTTTAGGCTAAAAAAGAAGCAACCAGCAAGAATCTATTACAGTGTGAATTATGACATGTTACTTTAGACTTAAAAAAAAAAACAACCAGCAAGAATCTGTTACAGTGTGAATTATGACATGCTACTTTAGGCTAAAAAAGAAGCAACCAGCAAGAATCTATTACAGTGTGAATTATGACATGTTACTTTAGACTTTAAAAAAAAAACAACCAGCAAGAATCTGTTACAGCGTGAATTATGACATGTTACTTTAGACTTTAAAAAAAAAACAACCAGCAAGAATCTGTTACAGTGTGAATTATGACATGCTACTTTAGGCTAAAAAAAAACAACCAGCAAGAATCTATTACAGTGTGAATTATGACATGTTACTTTAGACTTAAAAAAAAAAACAACCAGCAAGAATCTGTTACAGCGTGAATTATGACATGTTACTTTAGACTTAAAAAAAAAAACAACCAGCAAGAATCTGTTACAGCGTGAATTATGACATGTTACTTTAGACTTTAAAAAAAAAACAACCAGCAAGAATCTGTTACAGTGTGAATTTCAATGCACAGTGTTCTGGATGGCAGAACACAAACATTGGCAATCTATTCAACTGGGTAAGTCAATCATACGTAAAACGGCTGTACAGGAAATATAATGTTCATGTTAGGCTTACAGCCAATAGTTCTACGTAATTAATATCAATAATCACCACCATGAACAAAGATCCTTGGCATATCATACAGAGACAGAAACTTAAATGATTAAGTTCACTGTCTCATTACTTAATCCATTGACAATTATGCATATGATATCACAACATCTAGTTTGAGAATGGAGGTGGAGGCAGTCTCTGCTGCCTTCCGTTGGCTTCAGAATCAGCTGTCTTTCGGGTTGTACACATGCCGTTGATGGTAATCTGACTCACAGAGCATATCTGAGAGAAGGTTAAAAAGAAAAATGAAAAAGAGGGCATCAGGCTTCATGAAGAGTGGCAAGCATCACTTCAGAGGTCCCGGATAGTTAGCACCCTTTGGATATTTTCTCCAGATAATGCCGGTATGTTGAGAAATGAGCAGGCAGATAGACTGGCTGGCTCTGCACCACTTGGTAGTTAAATGATGTATGATAAGTTAGATAATGTGAGGGCCCTTTGGGAGCGAGTAAACAGTGTAAAGGCGCAAATAGATCATTACGGTCTAAGGAGAATGACACTGCCAGAAGTTATCAGTGTATCTGGCAGACGCTCAAAACTCAGGGGAAAGATGAATTAATGCAGCACTTGCCAGTCTATCAGCTCTCTCATTACCAACAACGCCTGCATGCCCTGCGTACGGGGAAAATGAAAAAGTAACTGAACTTCACACAGGAGAAGCGGAAAGTTTTGCAATGACTCAATCGTACTGTCAGCGGCCCGGGTAACCAGCCTGCCTCGACCGGCGCCTGGATTCATACTTTCAAAGAACACTCAGCACACACAGCACGCAGGGAACAGTCTGTGTTTAAGTTATGAGACTATGATCCTGGTGAGACTATGATGATAACAATGACTATAATGAAAATACCTGAAAGAATATTCTCTCAAGTTTTGCGACCTTCTCCCTCTTGGGTTTGATCTCTCTTGCTACAGCACAGTAGCCCATCACTGCATCCACAAACTTCAGCAGACCCGCACCGGCTTTACTGATACTTTTCATCTGGTCAGGGGTCATGTCAATATCTTTCAGCAAACCTGGGGAAGGAGCCACCAGTCAGCTATGACCAAACACAGTGAAATATGTAAATGTATGGCATAAATCATAATCATTATGCACTCGTAAGCGGTCACCATCTCACATGATCACCAGAATCATGGATTAAGTCAGTGCTCTTGTCTCTCTCCATCCAACTGGCCAAGCCATCTAGGTATTGATCTATATGCCTTCTTCTTGCTCACTTTCCATCCATCTTGCTGATGGTCACCATGTTTCCCACCTCATTCCATCTCATAAAATGTCCAAAAATGCTGTTGACATCTAATTTCTCTAATTAGTTGATGGTTTTTAACTATCTCAAGAAGAACCAAATCATTTGGTTTTTGTATAATTCCACGATATTCTCTGCATTCTTCTACAAAAAAAAAAAATTTCTTAGCAAGTGGGTATTTTTAAGTTCTTCTGATTAATGTCACTGTCTCACATGAGTATAAGAACACAGGTACTATAAAAAATTGTAAAACTGTTTCTCATTTCAGTTAACAATGGAATAAATAACATATTAAAATACACAATAAATCATCATCAACAACTTCCAACTTCATCAGTTTTCATTTTTTCTTTGGCGCCCTCTAGCTCTTAAATTGGATCTTCTTAGGTGCAACACCAGTATCATTGTGGCTGCATTCTAACAAGATGACCAAACCAACTGATCTTCTGCTTCTCACTGAATTTGGTGCAAGATGTTCACACAATCTGTCCAATAGTATCATTTTTAACTCGGTTTCAGTTTGTTAAATTTGCGTTTGCAGCTTTCCCGTGTATCTTCTCTCACAGGTATAAATTTTACACAATAAATATGATTGAAAATATTCAATAATTTATAATCCATTACAACTACAAACAGTTTAGGAACATTCTCAATCCTTTATCGGTTCTTAGAGTTATGTAGAATTTTTTTTTCACACATCTACAAATGTTTTTTGAAGCATCAGAATTAATTTTAATCTGAATTTGATATGCTTAGTAAAACTAGGACAATTATTCACAGCCTTCTTCTACTGCTGTCTATCCCCCATTGGAGCACAGGCACTCAACCAACTCACACAAAGTCGCTCTATCCTTTGCTATTGCATGCAGTATCCCCCTATGTCCTCCATATCTTTCTAACTTCATTCTCTAGCTCCATTCACCATGTGTTTTTTGGTCTGCTTATATTTATATGCCCCTGTTGGTTCTAATGCAGACATTCCAGTTATACTGTTCTCATGTTTTCTCAACGTGTGTCCTATTCAAAGACAGCATTTTTTCTTCACCTCTTGGTCCACTGGAACTTGTTTAGTTCTCTCTAAAAGCTCTACATTAGTGATTCTATCATACCATTTAATTTCCTCCATTCTGCGCGAGCACCTACTAATGAATGTTCATAGTTTATTAGTAACTGTCTTAGTTGTTCTCCAAGTTTCCGCTCCAGACAGCAGTACTGATTTGACATTAGCATTACAAATTTCAAGTTTTGTATTAGTTTTAATGTCTTTTGACCTCCACACATTTCCCAGTGCTATGAAATCTCCCCTTGTCTCGTGTATTTAGATTTTAACATCTCTATAAGTTTCCCTTTCTTTATCTACATTACTTTCCAAATAGGTGTACAACTCCACGTCTTGAAGTGAGGTACCATTAAGAGAAACCACATTATTATTTGCCTAGTTTATTCACATTATGTTTGTCTTTCCCCGTAAGGATTTTTACACCTAGCTGTTGTGATCCTGCATGAAGTATATTTAATTAAACTAGAACAATTATTCACAGTAGCCTAGACAAAAAATGGGAGATGTGTAGAAGTTAAATGTACATCTGCATTCATCATCATCAGCATCACATCCTGTGGTGCAATTATATGTCAAACAAGGCTTTTAATCTATTTAGCCATTCCATTGTACCCTTGACTCTCAGTCTATTCTGCCATTCTATTGTACCCTGGACTCTCAGTCTATTCTGCCATTCTATTGTACCCTTAGCTCTCAGTCTATTCCACCATTCCATTTTACCCTTGGCTCTCAGTCTATTCTGCCATTCTATTGTACCCTGAACTCTCAGTCTATTCCACCATTCCATTTTACCCTTGGCTCTCAGTCTATTCTGCCATTCTATTGTACCCTGGGCTCTCAGTCTATTCTGCCATTCTATTGTACCCTGAGCTCTCAGTCTATTCCACCATTCCATTGTACCCTTGGCTCTCAGTCTATTCTGCCATTCTATTGTACCATTGGCTCTCAGTCTATTCTGCCATTCTATTGTACCCTGAGCTCTCAGTCTATTCTGCCATTCTATTGTACCCTGGGCTCTCAGTCTATTCTGCTATTCTATTGTGCCCTGATCAGTCCTTCCGATATAATGGATGGAATCCAACCCAGCACTTTTGGCCTTTCTCAACATTACACAAATTAGGGTTTCCTTTGGACATCCACATTTTCTGAATCAATTTGTTTCCCACGAGTGAGGAGTACTGTCTGGATTTTTTCACCGGGTCATACCGGTGTGCTGGGAAATGAACAGGCGGACAGACTGGCTGGCTCTGCACAACTTGGTGGAATACTGATGCATGATAGGGCAGACGTGGTTAGTGCCTTGTGGGAGAGCGTGTACAATGCGGAGGAGCAGATGGATCACCACAGTCTGGTGAGATTGATGCAGTTGGGGGTGACAAGAGGTTCTGGCAGAAGCTCGAGGCTCAGAGGAAAGGCAAGACGGACATTTAATCAGAAAGCTACTGGCACCATTAGTATCGGAACTCTTCGCTGGCTGCTGAAGATGGGGACGGAGTGCTTATGGGAATGCCCCGAGTGCTGTGATATCGGTTCTTGAATCAAATCAAATCAAATTTGTTTCCCATTTCAGTGCCTGTTTCATAGTTCTCTGCTTACTTCTTCTCAATCAGTATAGCACTATCTTCTTTTCCATTTGCACTACTGACTGGATATGAGGTAACCTACCTTTGACTGTGGTTATCTGCCGTTGGCTAATGTTATCCACATCCATCTCTTTAAGAGTTCTCAGAAAGTTGGTTTCAGACATTAATCCTTTGGCAGTTTTCCATGATACTTCACGAACCCCCTTCATGACCACAATGCACTCACAGACTGTCTGTACTTCCCTTGGTGGTTTGGCAAATGATCTAGAAGAATGCACAGAAAGAGATTTTAACTCTCAAAGCTTTCTTTCCATAAGAATCGTAACAAAAATGTAATAATCTTTTTCCATTTCATTAAAAGGAAACTCACAATTATAATTCACTGAAACTCTACCCTAAGAAACCAGAGGAAGAGAAGAGAAAGCAAAATAAATTTGGAGTCCTGGTTAGTTTTTACCCACAAAAAAAAAATCGAGGAGTTAAAAACCTAAGGCCACTGAGCAGACAGAAAAACCTGCTAGCTACTGTGTCACTGCTGTTCCCAAAAATCCAAATAAAAAAAAAAAAAGGACTCAGTGAAACCACATATCTACCCTCTCCCCCGACTAACGTTCAACCCAGCCAGGACATCACACTGAGCGACAAACACCCGGTTACACAAAGTGCCACAATTTGGATGAGGATCCCACTGGGACAGGTCCCAGAAACCCAGTTCAACCCATAGCTAGGGTTATATTAGGGCCTCTGGCAACAGCCAGGGTGAGGCTTTAAAACAATAAAAAAATTGCGCCCGATATTGGATCGCAGTATTTATACCCGCCACCCCCCCCCCCCCCCCCCAAAAAAAAAGCTTTTTTATTTTAGGACAGTATCACTAAACACAACAGATCAAAGAATTAAATGCCTTCCCTCCATTTGACAATGAAACATGGTTTTGTTATGTCTGCCATGTTGAGTAAAGTGATATGATTACATAACGATAACATCAGCATGATCAATAAATCAAATTTTTTGTTCAGGTAACATCTTACATTTTATGTTGTAAATATAATCAAACCCACCACACCTACACACTGTTCAGCTGCAACCAGTACCAAAGCTGTTATATAGGTCTAGTTCATACTGCATAATGACATAATGTCATCAAAGCATTATCCTTTCCTTGTTTGGACTTCAGGTTATGTCATAACTGTCGGGGGCCCCAATACAACTATATGGTTTAAGGAGACTTAGTGGGATTTGTACATTTAAGATTCTCATCCTTGAGATGGTATTCCTGTGAACTACAGTCCTGGAGGGAGCAAACTGCAACACAATGTCAGCAAAAAATCCACAAATTCCTCAAAATCTGTTCATTTGGAGCAAAAGGGTTAACAATCAGACAGCCAGACATTTTTTTAAATAAAAAAGGTAGCAAATTATGTGTGTTTCGTTCAATGTCAAAGTGCATCTGCCTGAGATGAGAGAAACCAACAGTCTGTATACAAATAAGCCTGATTGCAAAATGGATGTGCATGCAAAACTCAAGTTCTGAAACAAGTCTGAAGTCCACAAGTGCATTAACAACAAGAATTGTCCGCTGCACCTTACAGCTGATAAACATGAGGAACAAGAAGAACATATAAATACAGTTTTAAAAAAAATAATCTGAAAAAAAAATTGGTGGGAGGTCCAGGGTACAAAAAAAGACACTGTTGAATTCAAAACTACCTGAGACTGAAAGAGGTAAGGTAAATAAAAATTAATAGGAACAGTGATGTCAAAGAAAAGTACCTGATTTCAGTGACATCATTTCTATCAAGGTCGTCCAAAGCAAGTCTGGCAGCCTCCAGTGCTGGCAGAGCTTCTGCAAGGGTGTCTTCTGCTTCTTTCTAAAAAAATATATACAGATTTCATTTCATATAATGAGTTGTGGAATCAATAGATGTGCTTGAAAGGAAAAATCTAATCTCTGTGAACATTTGTTATTTTCCAAATATAAATAGGTGATTTAATAATTTTATGATAGGGGATAATTTCATTTAGGCCAATAGTGAACAAAAGTGTTGACTGCTCAGAAGAAGTCAGCAAAAGACTAACTTTTACAATGCAGAGACTAAACAACATGAAGAACTTATAGCACAGCACCTGCAAGTTAAAGTAAAATTGTGAGATCATGCATTTTTCCTACGGCAAGTTACAGATATGGGTCATAGACTATTACTCAATCAATGCAGAAACAAAAATCACTTTTGAACTCAAATGCTAGAAGAACATTCTTAGAATACCACAGACCAAGAAAAAGAAAAACACTGACATCCTGCATAATCTGAGCATCAATGAAAGAACTATGTTTTCTCAACAAAAGAATTCCTGTACTTTTGAATGAAAGAACCATGATTTCTCAACAGAAGAATTCCTGTACCTCTGAATGAAAGAACTATGTTTTCTCAACAAAATAACTCACATACCTTTAAATGAAAGAACTATGTTTTCTCAACAGAAGAATTCCTGTACCTTTAAATGAAAGAACTATGTTTTCTCAACAAAATAACTCACGTACCTTTAAATGAAAGAACTATGTTTTCTCAACAGAAGAATTCCTGTACCTTTGAATGAAAGAACTATGTTTTCTCAACAAAATAACTCATGTACCTTAGAATGAAAGAACTATGTTTTCTCCACACACAAAAATTACTGTAACTTTGAATGAAAGAACTATGTTTCTCAACAAAATAACTCACATACCTTTAAATGAAAGAACTGTGTTTTCTCAACAGAAGAATTCCTGTACCTTTGAATGAAAGAACTATGTTTTCTCAACAAAATAACTCATGTACCTTTGAATGAAAGAACTATGTTTTCTCAACAACAAAAAATTGCTGTAACTTTGAAAGAAAGAACTATGTTTTGTCAACAAAATAACTCACGTTCCTTTGAATGACAGAACTATGTTTTCTCAACAAAATAACTCACGTACCTTTAAATGAAAGAACTATGTTTTCTCAACAGAAGAATTCTTGTACCTTTGAATGAAAGAACTATGTTTTCTCAACAAAATATCTCATGTACCTTTGAATGAAACAACTATGTTTTCTCCACACACAAAAATTACTGTAACTTTGAATGAAAGAACTATGTTTCTCAACAAAATAACTCACATACCTGTAAATGAAAGAACTATGTTTTCTCAACAGAAGAATTCCTGTACCTTTGAATGAAAGAACTATGTTTTCTCAACAAAATAACTCATGTACCTTAGAATGAAAGAACTATGTTTTCTCCACACACAAAAATTACTGTAACTTTGAATGAAAGAACTATGTTTCTCAACAAAATAACTCACATACCTTTAAATGAAAGAACTGTGTTTTCTCAACAGAAGAATTCCTGTACCTTTGAATGACAGAACTATGTTTTCTCAACAAAATAACTCACGTACCTTTAAATGAAAGAACTATGTTTTCTCAACAAAAGAATTCTTGTACCTTTGAATGAAAGAACTATGTTTTCTCAACAAAATATCTCATGTACCTTTGAATGAAAGAACTATGTTTTCTCCACACACAAAAATTACTGTAACTTTGAATGAAAGAACTATGTTTCTCAACAAAATAACTCACATACCTGTAAATGAAAGAACTATGTTTTCTCAACAGAAGAATTCCTGTACCTTTGAATGAAAGAACTATGTTTTCTCAACAAAATAACTCATGTACCTTTGAATGAAAGAACTATGTTTTCTCCACACACAAAAATTACTGTAACTTTGAATGAAAGAACTATGTTTCTCAACAAAATAACTCACGTACCTTTATATGAAAGAACTATGTTTTCTCAACAGAAGAATTCCTGTACCTTTGAATGAAAGAACTATGTTTTCTCAACAAAATAACTCATGTACTTTTGAATGAAAGAACTATGTTTTCTCAACAACAAAAAATTGCTGTAACTTTGAAAGAAAGAACTATGTTTTGTCAACAAAATAACTCACGTTCCTTTGAATGACAGAACTATGTTTTCTCAACAAAATAGCTCACGTACCTTTAAATGAAAGAACTATGTTTTCTCAACAGAAGAATTCTTGTACCTTTGAATGAAAGAACTGTTTTCTCAACAAAATAACTCATGTATCTTTGAATGAAAGAACTATGTTTTCTCCACACACAAAAATTACTGTAACTTTGAATGAAAGAACTATGTTTCTCAACAAAATAACTCACATACCTGTAAATGAAAGAACTATGTTTTCTCAACAAAATAACTCATGTACCTTTGAATGAAAGAACTATGTTTTCTCAACAAAATAACTCATGTACCTTTGAATGAAAGAACTAAGTTTTCTCCACACACAAAAATTACTGTAACTTTGAATGAAAGAACTATGTTTCTTAACAAAATAACTCACATACCTTTAAATGAAAGAACTATGTTTTCTCAACAAAATAACTCATGTACCTTTGAATGAAAGAACTATGTTTTCTTCACACACAAAAATTACTGTAACTTTGAATGAAAGAACTATGTTTATTAACAAAATAACTCACATACCTTTAAATGAAAGAACTATGTTTTCTCAACAGAAGAATTCCTGTACCTCTTAATGAAAGAACTATGTTTTCTCAACAAAATAACTCACGTACCTTTAAATGAAAGAACTATGTTTTCTCAACAGAAGAATTCCTGTACCTTTGAATAAAGAACTATGTTTTCTCAACAAAATAACTCATGTACTTTTGAATGAAAGAACTTTGTTTTCTCCACACACAAAAATTGCTGTTACCTTGAATGAAAGAACTATGTTTCTCAACAAAAAAATTTCTGTAACTTTGAATTAAAGAACTATGTTTTCTCAACAGAAGAATTCCTGTACCTTTGAATGAAAGAACTATGTTTTATCAACAAAAGAATTCCTGTACCTTTAAATGAAAGAACTATGTTTTCTCAACAGAAGAATTCCTGTACCTTTGAATAAAGAACTATGTTTTCTCAACAAAATAACTCATGTACTTTTGAATGAAAGAACTTTGTTTTCTCCACACACAAAAATTGCTGTTACCTTGAATGAAAGAACTATGTTTCTCAACAAAAAAATTTCTGTAGCTTTGAATTAAAGAACTATGTTTTCTCAACAGAAGAATTCCTGTACCTTTGAATGAAAGAACTATGTTTTATCAACAAAAGAATTCCTGTACCTTTGAATGAAAGAACTATGTTTTATCAACAAAAGAATTCCTGTACCTTTGAATAAAAGAACTATGTTTTATCAACAAAAGAATTCATGTACCTTTGAATAAAGAACTATGTTTTCTCAACAAAATAACTCATGTACTTTTGAATGAAAGAACTTTGTTTTCTCCACACACAAAAATTGCTGTTACCTTGAATGAAAGAACTATGTTTCTCAACAAAAAAATTTCTGTAACTTTGAATTAAAGAACTATGTTTTCTCAACAGAAGAATTCCTGTACCTTTGAATGAAAGAACTATGTTTTATCAACAAAAGAATTCCTGTAACTTTGAATGAAAGAACTATGTTTTATCAACAAAAGAATTCCTGTACCTTTGAATAAAAGAACTATGTTTTATCAACAAAAGAATTCATGTACCTTTGAATAAAGAACTATGTTTTCTCAACAAAATAACTCATGTACTTTTGAATGAAAGAACTTTGTTTTCTCCACACACAAAAATTGCTGTAACCTTGAATGAAAGAACTATGTTTCTCAACAAAAAAATTTCTGTAACTTTGAATTAAAGAACTATGTTTTCTCAACAGAAGAATTCCTGTACCTTTGAATGAAAGAACTATGTTTTCTCAACAAAAGAATTCCTGTACCCTTGAATGAAAGAACTATGTTTTCACAACAAAAGAGTTCCTGTACCTTTTCTGTTTCGATGACTTTGCTCTGTTCAGCAATCTCCTGTCCTTTAGCTTCAGCAAATGCCTTTTTCTCTGTAGCAGTTTTAGTGCCTGCAGCAATCTCAGCCAGCAGGGCCTCACAAGCTCTGGTTTTCTCTGTGACAGCAACTTTCTGAACTGCTAGCTTCTCATTAAGCACAACCAACATCTCGCTGGCATCAGCAATTTTTTGTAAACCTCCTTGCAGCCTTTCACACTGTTGTCAAAACAAGATATTATATAATGGAAATCACACTTCAGCCAGCACAAGATGATCGTAAAACAATGTATCTAATCCTACAGGAGAAAGGGCATGCAAAGATGTGAATAACTTGGCCTTATTTCTTAGAACAATAGGCCTATATATTTTGGTGCAGCATGATGGCACTGGTAATGTCATTATTTTTCTGAAATCATTTGATCTGATCTAACTAGACAAATATGTCCATGAAAACTTTCAATTATTAGTACATGGACAATTTAGTAAGGACATTAACTCTTTCATTCTCAAGGGTTTTAGCATCAGAGGCTGAAGGAATGGTAAAATATATAATCAGCACATCTTGCGTCATTGGGCTTCTCACTTTTTCCTTGAGTGCTGATCGTCTGCCAGATACTCAAGTCATTCTTCGCAGTACAGTTCTCTTTAGACCATGATTATCCATCTGGTGCTTCTGCACTGTTCACTCACCCCCAAAGGCCCTTACAACATCCAGCTTGTCATGCATCAATTCATCACTAAGTTGTACAGAACCAGCCAGTCAGTCTGCCAGTTCATTTCCTAATACACTGGCATTTCTTAGGGAAAATATCCAAAAAACTACTGGAGACCTCTGAAGTGGTGCTTGCCACTCTTCTGTAGCATACCAGTTTCCCCTTTTTCTCAACATACTCTGTGAGTCGGTTACAATTACAACATGTGATTCTCAAGCCAGCAAAAGGCTACAGTGACTGCATCCACTTCCATTCTTAGACTAGATGCTGTGGTGTCATGTGCCACGTTTAATCAGTTAAGACTAATTAAAAAAAACTGAAGGTGTGAAGACAGTTGCAGCTGTCAGTTTGCTGAGATCAGAATGTAAGGTTTTTACAAAAAGATCATTTGTAAACAGCAAAAAAGTCTGACCCAAACAAAACATCAAAAACATACAATATATACACACACACAGACACAAACATTCATTTTAATTGTTCACCTGTGCCAAAATAAACTTGTCCTGATCATTCAAGAGCTTCAGGTATGTGTTAATGAAGTCAAGGTAGTTCTTGGGTGTGACATAATTATTTCTGCGGAGCCGCTGTGAGAACTTAATGCTGTAAACACCAATAGACTGGTGCACCATCACAATATGGGTTACAATGTCTTCTCTTTTGTTGACAGGGATCAGTGGGTTCTGTAAGACATACAGATTTATTATTGTTTGTTATATTATTTAGCATGACTTTACTTTTTTCTTACAGTAAAGTGAAGGACCTGTTTTATGTCTGTTGAACGTCAGGTACGTGATTGTAAAGTCATATTTTTTTTAAACCAATCAGCTGTCTGTGCGCGATGTGGTGAATATTATATTTGCTGCCTTTACTTCTCAGGATATTTCCTGGAACCCATTTAAAGCTGAGTCAATTTGGGAGCCAAAGTCAATTAAACAGAACCCCAAAAAAAAAAAGTAAAATCAAACCCAAAAGTTTCAGACCAGTAGGTAAAGATCTATCTACTGTGGCTTCTACTAAAATAACCTATAATAAAATAAAAATTAAAAATATGTTATAAATGTTATAAACAAATCTTCAAAAGAAAAAAGGCATATATGAATTTTTTTTTTTTCAACCCAAACTCTTTCAGTTCAAAACAACACTGTGTGTGAAGGGATAATCCTTGTAAGTTATAACCAATTATTATTTTATATTTTTAAAACATTATTATGGCCTGGTCGGCTCTATGGCTAAGTCGATGCAAACGCTTCGTAATGCCAGGGTGCGGGGTTCGATCCCAGCTGCGGGCCATTGGTTTTGACAGTGATATCAGGGGGCCGACCGTCCAGAAAGCAATGGCAAACTACTGGACGTAAATTTGCCTAGAGAAACCACACAACAGCCAGGGGCTACTGAGGTTGATTCTGCAACGTCCTGTAAAGGATACACAACTAACCTATGGCCTAGAGAGAATGAGGTGTAACCAGAGGTTCTGGCCAGCTCACTACACTCAGAGGAAAGGCAAGATGGACATATAACCAGATTGTGACTGAAGTACTGGAACTTTGCGCTGGCTGCTGAAGATGAGGACAGAGCATGGGAATACCCCGAGTGTTGTGATGTCAATTCTTGACTCAACTTAAGGGGTTACTACACGGTATTTTTCCCAATTTATGACAAAAATATCACTTTTTCAATGTGTTCGTTTTCGTAAAGTTCGGCATTCGTACAATAGATGACACACAAAATTTATGTCATTTGTAAACAATTTAGCATTGAAAAGTTAATACTAATGACACCACCTCGTGCACTTTTTTAAGATCAAAAAAAGTTTAAAAGTCAGTTTTCTCAAATCTTTATATTTCAGTTTGCTGTGTGTGTGAAATCCTAAAATCTAAGCAAATATAAAGAGTAGAATCATGAAATTTTGTATGCATACTCCATGAACATGAACAATATTATAGGGACTGGTCTATCTAAAAGTAGATTTTAGAAAGTTTTTGTTTCTAAAATTTAATTATTGTCTTATGATGCTAGATTTTTTTGACTTTTTCAATAAACCTACATTTTTAAATTCTACGAAAAATATTTAAAAACATGTTTAAAGTAAATAAACTAGACCAGTACCTCTAAATAGGACGAAAAGTCATGGATCTATCGCCTATTGTTGAATACCTATGTTTGCTTTTATAATTTAAGGATTCTAAGTACATATTGTTTTTTTCACAAAATGGCGGCTATTGCCATGACAACTATGATTTTTTAACACTTAAAGTATACAAATGTAAAAGCATGTATCCCTACAAATGACCATTATAAAATAACTGCTCTACTGGTGTAGTGACCCCTTAACTCTACTAAACTTTTTAAATGTTTTACATTTGGTCAGGGAGTCGCCGTGGCAGTGGCTAGATGCACGCCGCAGATCGGAAGGTTGTGGGTTCGCTCAATGGCGGAGCCGGACTTTTCTTCAAAAATGACCTTGGCTCCCAGGTCGAACTAGCCTTGAGTGGGTACCGGGTGCAGTCCGGGGAAGTAAAGGCGGTCGGCGTGATGCTGACCACATCACCCATCTTGTGCCATTGGTCTATAAAAATATAGGTCTAGCCCTATATGCCCTATACACCTAAAGTGTGGAAAAGGGTCCCTTACTATTTTTTTTTTACATTTGGTCAAAACATACTCTGGAAATCTAGCTACCTGTTTAGTCTCTATCTGGCGGTCTCATAATTGTTTTCCCACTTGAGGATTTTCTGCCAGACCTTCTGGTACTAAAAGAGTTAAGAAATTCATAATCTGAAACACTTTTATTGCCTGCACAGTGTTTAGGAGGACTAGAGTGCACTTTTATTGCCTGCACAGTGTTTAGGAGGACTAGAGTGCACTTTTATTGCCTCCACAGTGTTTAGGAGGACTAGAGTGCACTTTTATTGCCTCCACATTGTTTAGGAGGACTAGAGTGCACTTTTATTGCCTGCACAGTGTTTAGGAGGACTAGAGTGCACTTTTATTGCCTGCACAGTGTTTAGGAGGACTAGAGTGCACTTTTATTGCCTCCACAGTGTTTAGGAGGACTAGAGTGCACTTTTATTGCCTGCACAGTGTTCAGGAGGACTAGAGTGCACTTTTATTGCCTCCACAGTGTTTAGGAGGACTAGAGTGCACTTGTATTGCTTGCACAGTGTTTAGGAGGACTAGAGTGCACTTTTATTGCCTGCACAGTGTTTAGGAGGACTAGAGTGCACTTGTATTGCCTGCACAGTGTTTAGGAGGACTAGAGTGCACTTGTATTGCCTGCACAGTGTTTAGGAGGACTAGAGTGCACTTTTATTGCCTGCACAGTGTTTAGGACTAGAGTACGCTTTTATTGCCTGAACAGTGTTTAGGAAGACTAGAGTGCACTTTTATTGCCTGCACAGTGTTTAGGACTAGAGTACGCTTTTATTGCCTGCACAGTGTTTAGGAGGACTAGAGTGCACTTTTATTGCCTGCACAGTGTTTAGGAGGACTAGAGTGCACTTGTATTGCCTGCACAGTGTTTAGGAGGACTAGAGTGCACTTTTATTGCCTGCACAGTGTTTAGGACTAGAGTACGCTTTTATTGCCTGAACAGTGTTTAGGAAGACTAGAGTACGCTTTTATTGCCTGAACAGTGTTTAGGAAGACTAGAGTACGCTTTTATTGCCTGCACAGTGTTTAGGACTAGAGTACGCTTTTATTGCCTGAACAGTGTTTAGGAGTACGTTTTTATTTACTAAAAATAGCATTTGGAAAGGAGGGGGTTGAAGTTGGGTGGGGTGGGGTTGGGGGGGGGGGGGGGATCTGTGATAAAAATGGAAAAAGTGCCTCTTTTTTTTTTTTACCTAAGGAATTTGTATTCTGTCTTAAACTTTAGGAAATGGGATTGTTAAGTCACAGTATGAGTCATCAATTTTCTTTTAGGTCTAAGGGACTGCAAACGTTTAATTCTCCACTCCATTCGTGATTAGTTTCCTTCATATTTTAGTTTTTAAAATTTTCATTTTTATGTATACATACTCATTAAAAAAAACGTGACTTATGTAAAATGACTGCATTTCAAAGCACCTATTTTTGGAGAATTCCTGGGTTCATGGCTTTTTTCTTCAAAGGGTTCCCGGGACGAAATCAGTTAACCCATCAAGCTTTAAGGTGAGCTTTATTTTGTATTTCTGTTGTCTTCATTTTTTTCATTCACCCTCATAGTGCACTTCTTTTATTATAAGTTTTTAACACTGGTATAATTTATAATATATATTGTCATGAGCATTTACAAAAGATGTATACAATTCTGGTGAAATGTGTCAACTAATTTAACGTCAATAGCTGCAAATTATTTGTCTGCTTCCTTATCATACCACACAATATCATGGATAGGCATTCTGCTTCAAGTCCTTGTTAGTCATTTCAAATCTGGCTTTGTAAGAGGGCCTGAGTTTTGCATGCCTCCATTTCACGGGCTTATCTGTGCGCAGTTGGTTGTTCCTTGCCACTGGCGCAGATACACTCTGACTTTGAAGAAAGCTCCCAGTTGGTTAGTTGATTCTTACGAGATGCTTGCTGTGTTCGGGAGACAGTGGTTCTACTCTATTGTTTTCCCCCACAATGGGGCTCTGGAACACACACTGGGAAGACTCACTTATGATTGGCTGAATTTTTCAGTTACAGATTTGAAAGCCAGTCCCAAGCCAGATCTCCTTAGTCATCTGTCCCAAGCCAAACCTCCTTAGTCATCTCTTATGATATAACAAGTAGGTCAGTGTTCATATTTTCGCTTGCATCAAGGGTTCATTTAACACATAGGCAAATTATAGATTTAATTGTATTTTTTCAGGACTTCAAAAAACCATGCTGGCATTTATTGATTTTATTTATGGTTTCACTAGGTAATTTTATGTTGAGTAGTTTTACCAGATGTACTTCTACAAAATAAACACTGTACTTTGGTTAGATGAAGACAATGGTGCTTTCATTCCACATGGTTCTAGACTAAGTCACTGGGAGCTAAGAATGGCAATACTTAACATACAACCCTTACAGAGTTCTTCAGAGGCACTCCCTAAACATAAGATGTAAAAATATACATAACATGTTGACTGGATCATGTGAATACTACCCAGTAAAAAACAGTGTCTTGGTTGGGACAGAAAGAGTTAAGTGTCCAGTTAACACCTAGGCAGTTTTTTAGACTCAGTTGTGTGTAATAATAAAAACAAACCTCTGGTGAGATGAAGACACTGGCAACTGCATACAGGGCTTGTTCTGGCCAAGGGAAGAACCAGTCAATGCTGGCATTGTTCACCATTCCTGGCAAAGATTAAACAGTTGTATATTTATTGTCTGAACGTCAGAAAGAGGGGAATCATTGTTGGCTCACATTATGAGAAGAGAAAAACTGGGACATGTCACAGCTGGAAAGATAATTTTGAACAGATTATAAACCACATGGAAAGAGAAGAAGGACGTAGAGCACGGGGTAGACCAAGAACAAGATGGAAGGATAACATCAGAGAACCTCTACAACAGCACGATGTGCCTATGGTCGAGGCAGCCAGAAGAGCTAGAAACAGAACCTTATATCTCCCTCGACACCCACAGCGGTAAAAGAGGAAGTGAAGAAGAAGAAGGTAAACCAAGTATTCATAACAATGGAAGAAGAGCCAGAGGTTAAAAAAATACAAAAACAAAAACCGATGGATAAATGGAATATCCACTGTGAATCCGAGCATCTTTGTAGCACTTACCAAGGCTGGCACCAGAGGCCTCTTCCAAACCTATACTGAAAGGCAGAACAAGGAATGAGAAAAGAGAAAAGAAGCAGGCAACTGTACTAACTGTGCCAAACTTGGACATTATCGAAAGCTCTTGTGCCGCTTCAGGTGTTGAGGGAGATATGGGTTCTGGTTCCTGCTCTTCTGGTCATCTTGACCAGACATTATGCTGTTGTAGAATGTTTCTAATGTTATCTTTCTATATTGTTCTTGGTCTACCTCATGCTCTATATCCTTCTCCTCTTGTTCTCTATGCCGTGTATGGCGTTCTTGCTAAGTGGCTGAACCATTCTTCTTCGCATTCACCGGCCGTAAACTTCTGCGGAAAGTTCTGGGGTTCGTCCACCTCCAGACTCTAGTCTTGCTTCAGAAGCTGAGTGTTGTGTGCACATCTGTTTCACAGATCCGGCTTATTTGTATGCAGACCTTTATTTCTTACCTCTCGGGCAGATGTACTCCAACTTAGAAAGAAGCCCCCAATTAGTCGACTCCTACTACATGTTTGTTGGGGAGGCAGTGGGTTTGTTCTTCTTTTTCCGCCAATGGGGCCCCAGAGCTCCCACAGGGAGGCAAACCATTTGATTTGCTGTCTTTGTATGTAATTTAGAATTGGTCTTGTGCCAGCTCTTTTCTCTTATCACTTAATTCTTTATTTTAATACCTCTTTTGGTCACTCCTGCAGCCTTCCAACTCCTGCAGACATCCCAATTTAAATGGTCCCTAATTCTCCTTTCTAATTTGTTGTAAATGACGTTGTTGTAAGTGCCTTCTTTTAGCTGACTGGGCTTGTTTTGTGCTCATATACGTAAAATAACACCTGCGAGACAAGATATCTGAAGAGTTCTGCTAGCCTAATCAACTTATGGGCAAAAGTTAAAGTTGATGGTGATGACAATGATACAGACACACAGAACCTTTGTTTTCAACAAAAAATAACAGTAAAACCAATGCATACCAGGGAAGTTCCTGCAGCGAGTTCTCAACATGTCACCAACTGGAGACATGGCCAGGACAATATGAAGATTGTTGGCACATTTGTTGATGAAGTATTGCCAGATGCTCTCTCTTGCATGTCCCACACCTGCTTTCACTGCCTCATCTCTCAGCTAGATTGTTTCAGATTTATGGAAGATATCAGTCAGATGTCATGTAATATTTACGCATATGCTGAACATACTGATTACTGATTAAAGAATCAAAATAATAGCACATTCGGTATAGTCATAGGTGCTCCGTCTCCTGCAGCAAATGTCCTAATGCATAGAAGCTTACTGTGTTGTAGCAAACTGATTATACACTCATCGTTTTCTTGCTCTCATAGTCTCTCCTTGTCGAATCCACTTCTAGTTCCAAGTTCACACATTCTCAACCAAACTTGGAAACTGAATCTAATCATAAATTCAATCCATTTTTAGATCTACTCTAATGTTTGAATTCTGACCCGCCTATGAATGAATCAAGAATTGACATTTCTTCACTCGGAACATTCCCACATGTGCTCCGTCCCCTTCTTCAGCAACCAATGAAGAGTTGCCATGCTAATAGTACCAGTTGCAACCTGATTAAAAAGTCCAGATCTGTTTCCCCTTCAGTGTTGAATATCTTCCAGAATCTCTATCAACCCCCGCTGAATTTGCCTTTCAATGTATGGATTCTCTGTTCTTTTGCACTGTCCCTTTGGTCCCATACAGCCTTCACCACATCCACTTTATCATATAGTAGCTAACTGCTCATAGGAGCAACAGCAGCCAATCTATCAGCCTGCTCGTGACCTCGTACACCTGAATTTCCTGGACAGAAAAACCATGATATGTTCCTGATCTAGGGTTTTATCAAGTGATTCAAGCCACTCTGTGCTCAGGATACCAGTTTTAATTTTTCTGAAGCATGCTCTGTGAGTCACCCACCTACAAAGGAGGGTCCAAGGGTCCCCTTAATTAAATCTATGTCATCAAACTGAGCGGCATCCGTGGCTTAGGCGTTGCGAGTCTGACTCGTAATTCCAACGTACGGTGATTGAAATCCACTGCTGGCTGCGTGGATTTTTTTCAAGGTATGGGGTGTAGAAGGTCGACCCAGCCTAAAATGGGTACCAGGATGCATGTCCTGGGGAAGTAAAGATGGCTGGCGTAATGCTGACCACATTACCCACCTAGTGTCAATTTGTCTGTATGCTCTTCCCATTTGCCAGATGCGAGTGAAAAGGGATCTTTACTTTTTTTGTTTACATCAAATTGAAGAGGGCATCTGGGATTTGGGTCTGTTGGATAATTTGATCCAAATGCTTGGAGAGCCACAGATTAATACAAATCAGCATGATGATATACACCTTGATTCATCTTTATTCAACTTCATCTTCATTTACTGACTTATTGATGTGAGAATTAACATCATAACATACCATCCATACCCACAGTTGCTCCATCTTCCACAGCAAATGTCTTGAGGCGTAGATGCCGACTGTTCCCATAGCACACTTAATGTGCACACCTTGTACTCTTCCTCTCAAATGTTCTTTTTTTACTGGATCTACACTGAGTTCTGAGTTCCCACAACCTGACACATATGATTTCCTCTAACATCATCATATCTTCTGTCACCATTCATTCATGCATGGTTTTCAGAATGTCTTCCTTGTCTAATTAATATGAGTGCTCCTACAGCTACTGCTCTTGTAGGCAAGTTGAGTTGAGTTGATTCAAGAATTGACATCACAGCACTGGGAGGCATTCCCATCAGCGCTACATCCCCATCTTCAGCAGTCAGTGAAGAGTTCCGTTACTAACGGTGCCAGTAGTATTCTGATTAAATGTTTTTTCTCTGAGCCTTGAGCATCTGCCTGAACCTCTCGTCACTCCCCGCCGCACCAACCTCACCAGACTGTGGTGATCCATCTGTTCCTCAGAACTGTACACGCTTTCCCACAAGGCAGTAACCATGTCTGCCTTATCATGCATCAGTATTCCACTAAGTTGTGCAGAGCCAGCCAGTCTGTCCACCTGTTCATTTCCAAACACACCGGTGTCACCTGGTGGAAAAATCCACACAATACTCCTCACTCGTGTTCTCCACAGCGAGGCATGCCACTCTGCATGAAGCATGCCTGACCTGATCTTCCTCAGCATGCTTTCTGAGTCAGTTACAATCACGATGTATGTGTGTGTTGTGTTCTCTAACCAGCGGAAAGCTGCAGTGACCGCCTCCACCTCCATTCTTAAGCTGGATGTTGTGGTATCAACTGCTAGGCTCTCCTGCACCAAACGTCGACCATGAACTTTTCCTAAGAAACCCCAAGCACTTCTTTTGCCTCTTGACACTGAACCATCTGTGTAAATAATCAAATCCTCTGAGTGAGCATTATCTTGAATTAATTTCTGAATTTCCACCTCCGTGGCACCTGCTGGCCAGTCTCTGCATTCCCAGCTCAGTGTGATTACGACCCTACACAAGTCTGACTGTTTAAGTGGCACTTTGACCCACTCCTCTCCTTGCCTAATGTTCTCAAGGATGCAAACCTGTCTTATTGTGTCTTCTGTCTGAGCCATCCATGACTTTCCTCTTATCAGCCACTGAACCTTAATTGCGCCAAGAGCTTCATGCAAAGGGTGGTCTGTGTCTGCAGCTAGCTTGAGATATGTCTTCGCCTGCAGCACCTTGTGCCTACATGCAACAGTCGGCAAACCAAGGATGTATCGCATACACGCCACTGGGGTGTCTCTGGTGCAACCCAGATTGAACCGCATAGCCGCGTTCTGTATGCGCTCTAGTTTGTCCATCTGACTCTTTGAGATGGTAAGCATTCCCAGGCCATTATCAACCACTGACAGGACCAGATGCTGATATAGTGTGAAAAGCATTCTCTGCTCTATGTCAATTGCAGCCATAGTCTTAAGTGCACTAAGTCCTTTTTGGCATCTCGTCACAACACTCTCCATATGGTCCTTAAAGGTCTGTCCTGTCCTGTCTTGATGCCACATACAAAAAATCTGCTTTTTTATTATATCATACTCCTGCATGCCTAGGACAGTAAATCACTGTAAATCCTTTCAAATTAGACATGGTGATGTGTGTCATAGTTGTCCATTTGGAAGCTTCAACACTACCGACTGATAATCAGACATGGTGATTCCTCTGTAACTCTATTTTTATCTTAATTACTATCGTCACATACCAAGCTGGATGTGATAGCCATGTTCTCCTACAACCATGTATTCTTGTCTTTGTAAATTTCTATCACTAATAATCATCTTTGATTTCAGCTTATTGTTGTAGAAATTTTTCTTTGTCATCTTCCTGTCTCTGACACCGTCAGTCTTCACAGTTCTTACACAACTATTATAAATACTGACTTCTCTTAACAAGACTAACAAATAATTATTGTTTTAGCTTTATAATAATGTCCTTTAATTATCAGCATAACTAAGGTATAACTGTGTACAACAGCACAGGTAGGGTTTTTTCTGGTGGTATGCAAAGGTATGCCGTATTGGCACATTTAGGGCATCATTATATCAGTGCTACTGAAGTAGACACTTTATGGTGAATACCACTTTTTCTAGAAAAGAATAGCCCTGAGTACAGGCATATTTAAAGTCTGCGTTATATTTACTGAATGATTACAAATGAGGTTAACGAAGGGAATCAGCTCAAATGATCACATTTACCTGTCCAATAATAATTTCTTTCTCATCATCAGCATACAGAGCTGGGACCATGCCTGAGGTCAGCATATTGTTGATTAACTCCAGGAATCCTAAACACCAGAAAAAAACTTTTTTTTTCACAAATGCATGCTGGATGCTGTTTACTGTCATCGATATGGCTAGAAAAAAAAAGAGGTAGTCGAGAGATGTGAACCATCATCATTGCACACGGTTTTAAACCATAAGTGCTCTGTCACCAGTAGGGACAGCTGATAAAAAAACTGTCCGCCTGTGTCGCCATCTGCAGGCAACTCCGTAGATATAGAGCCAGTTTAAATATATGGCTGTGAATCCTGGACAATTGATAAACAATTTCAGCATGTTTCAGAATGTAGTTTTTACATAAGAATCACTAGAATTCATTGCAAAGTTAAAAAAAAATTATTTAAAGTGACACAGAAGTTTTGAAAGAGTCATGGGCTTGAAGACAACTTATCACAAACATGAGAAGTAGACAGTCATCATTTCTATCATGTTATGAGAAGAAGGAAACTGGAAAATACTGTGCCCACTTGAAAGATTGGGAAATTGGGGAGTGGAGGGGGACAAGGAAGACAATAGGAAAAGATTCTTCCCAGCCTTTTCTCATGGCATGGAGTGGTGGCAGCAAATGGGTTGGTACAAGCTGTTAGAGATCACAGATTGTTTAGATCATCCACACCAGTCAGCACAGAATTTGATGACGATATCAAGTTAAGGTTGAGCCACCCTAGGAGCTCAGGTCTATGTTTATTTAAATCTGCCTTGGTGAGGAGTCAAACCAAATCCATTGGGCTGGCAGGCAAGCAGGCTAGCCAATGTGCCACCACAGCTTCCATCTGCTACAGTTTCTATAAAGTAATATCAGGTAATCAGATAATTGTAATCTCAGTTCCACTTTCACAGCAAAAAGGTCACCCCATAGTTGCTCTGTTTCTGTGCCACAAAGAATGTTCATCACTGTCCTTGTGAAAAATTAGCATAATCAAGTAGCATACACAGGCATTAAATGTTTAAGGCAGCCATCAGAAGTGCCAGCACAAACAGCCCGACACTACAAATCCAGTTTGTCGCCGATGAAAGGGGTAGATACAACAGATCAGCAATTGCAACTAACATATAAGGCATCTTAAGTTCTCTGCCAACAGGCCAATCACCATTTCCTGTACCTGCAGTAAAAAACACAAACTATGTTGTGACAGTAGTAAAATCCGCAGCTCAAAAGTGTCACGCCATGCACTAAACTCAGTAGCTGGTGATGAAACTATGGTCTTTCAGTCTATACATGGAGAAGAAATGCTAGCGGCTAACTGTTGTCAGAAGCAAAAACTTGCACGACTAAAACTGGTAAACCTGCTTATCCGCCATATTGATCTGAAGCCATGGTTTATTGTACAACTAGTTATAGTATTCAAACAATAAAGAAGAACAATAACAGACATGGTACTTGCCTTCTTCTACAACATGCTGGTCTGTGAACATGAAGGAAACTTTGTGGTTCTCCATGCCAAGTTTATTGTACAGGCTTCTCAAATCTTCTCTGAAGGAGTTCTCATTGTAGCCTCTAATTAAAGTAATTTCAAAAACCTGGCAGCCTGCGGCATATGATGCTAATCGACATAAGCTCTGCTTTCCACTGCCTGTATAAATGGAAAAGTGCAATTTGGTGATATGAATTCCACTATCCCCCCCCCCCCCCCCCCCAATGTGAATTTATATTGTTGTCCTAACATTATTCTATAAACTTTTACAGTAAAACTGTTATTAACTATCACTTCTTTTATCATCAGTTTTTGATATCCATCATCATCTTTGAAAAAAAAAAAAAAAAAAACAACAACCCACAATTAGCCACTCAGAAAAAAAAAAATTATCAAAGTGCAATGATAGGTTTAAAATGCAAGAGGAGGCAAATGCAACACAGATTCTACTTCAGCATAAGATAGGGAAAATTGCTTTGCAAAAAGCTCGAGCCTCAAAAACATAGAAGGAGATGACAGATTATTCTAAAGTAACATAGTTTTATAGTATTACAATATATTTCTGTTTATTACTACTCTTATATTAAAGTTTATACTGATCGTTTTGTAAAATTAAATACAATATGAATGTATTATTCCCTTTTGAAGGATTTTATTTTTATGTTCGTCCCAAGCGCACAGTGAAATCACATTAGGGAACATATGTATTGAGAGATTTCTGTTATCCATCAATTCTGTTACCTGTCACAGCTACCGTCTGGATGGTGGCGGTTAATTAACATTTTTACAGTTTTACTTTAATAACGAATGCTTCTATCTACTTACCTTTTGATATTTAGGTTGCTTCATATATTTCATATTTAGGTTACTAATATGAGGTTATTTTATGTACATGTTTTCTTATGTTATGTAATGCTATCATAATCAACATCACTGCACACTGGGCATCCCGTGCATGCTCAGTCCTACGATGCAGCAGCCACTCAAAGGTACTTTTACTAACTGTTCCCATAATGAGTTGGTTATAATGTCTTCTGCCCTGATCACAAAGACAGCACAGACATGCTTCACTCAGCTTTACTGTTAGCATCAGAAACTCATCCTTAACCCCCAACCTAGTCTGTACAGCACTGATAATTTCAGCTCTGTACAGGCTTCTTTCTGTTTGCACAGGATTTTTTTTTTTTACAGGTAATTCAATTTTTAGGTTATTTCATATTCAGGGTATATTACGTTTAGGTTACTATAAACACAGTTTATTTCATACACAGGTTAACTCATATGCAAGTTATTTAATATTTACAGTTTAACTCATATACAGGTTATTTCATATTTACGGGTTATTTCATATATACGGGCTATTTCATATACAGGTTATTTCATATACAGGTTATTTAATATACACAGTTATTTTACATACAGGTTATTTCATATACAGGCTTTTACATATACACAGGTTATTTCATATACACAGGGTATTTCATTTACAGGTTATTTCACATACAGGTTGTTTTATACAAAAGTTATTACATACACAGGTTATTCACTTACAAGTTATTTCATAAATAGGTTAACTCATATACAGGTTATTTCATATACAGGTTTATTTCATATACAGGTTATTTCATATACAGGTTTATTTCATATACAGGTTATTTCATATACAGGTTATTTCATTTACAGGCTGTTCCCTTTTCAGGTCATTCCATGCTCAATTTAAAAACAAAATGTGAATTTCAGAATAAGACATTCTGAAGAAGAAAAAAATGTTTGAAGATAAAAACTCTCAGCCTGAAACATACCTCCAACTCCGACTAACAAGGCATGCCCTCTGTCCATACGTAGCACTCGATGTACACGACACAAGTGCTCCAATGCATCGTCAAACAAGACAAGATTCATGGGTGTCTTGATGGAATTATAATCTTCCAAAATCTGTTAATATTAAAAAAAAAAATGCTATGACATCACAGATTCACATTTAGACTAAAAGTCGAAAGGGTCAACTTCATTACACTGGGTTTTATTGCATATGACTCAGTCTTTCCTCATAATGGCAAGCCACTTGCTGATAGTTGAGCTGAGTTGAGTCAAGAATTGACATCACAGCACTTGGTGCATTCCCATGCATGCTCCGTCCTCATCTTCAGCAGCCAGGGTAGAGTTCCAATACTGATAGTACCCGTCAAAATCTGGTTATATGTTGCTTGCTGAGAATGCCACACAAATCACAAACTCCATAGATCGAATGATGATCCAATGTGAACCAAACAATGCAGTCAATGAAACAAACCCACAACAACGCAAACAATCAATTAAATAGTCAATAATCTGATTTTACTTGGTAATTACAAATTTGGAAGTCAGATGATAAGTTAGTTGGTTGACTGCTTGATTGTCATAAATCTTGGAGAACTTGGAGTTTTAACACTTAAGCTCAATGTAGTAATTTTTCACTTTATCGAAGCCCAAAATACTGTTGGCATCTTTTGAGGTGAGGCTGATGTAAAGACTGAAATACAAGGAGACTGTGCTGAAGAGAGCTTTTAATCCCCTCTCCAAGTTTAAAAAACCCAGCAGGAAATGAAAAACTAATATCAGAACATCACAATGGTGAAAGAGTTAACCTTTTGCCCAGTGACACCAATAATTTACTTTTGCCATCTGTTTCAAATCCCTGTGAAGCCTTTAATATCAGCTTTGCTGCACTGGCCACTCCCTTGACAAGCCTAGTTAACAATACTTGTTCTGTTTGCATAGTGGAGGGCTATTCAACTGACAGCCCACAGGGCAAATCTGGCCAGGGAGGACTAGCAAGTTGCCAGTGGATCATTGCCAGTTCGTGCTGTATAAATGATCTTTCTGTCCTGGGGCTCATTTCTCTGGCCAGTGACGATTCCCATTTCCAAAATGTTGGCCCCTGAATAAACTTAGCTGAATTGCTCTGGCAGTTTTTAGGAGGGCTGGGTATGATTATGTTTACTTAATGTAACATTCTGGGCAATTATTGTGGAAACCATTTTTTTTATTTTTTTTTTAATTTTCATTATAGTGTCATAATTTGCTTTAGCATTTTGTGGTCACATAGCAACAGGGTGACTTAAAAAAAAATAAAATGTGTAATCTTGTTGCTTCATTTAAAGGATTTTTTTTTGGAAATTCTCATATTCATGACCTTTTTCCCCAGAGTTTCTGGCACAAAAGGGTTAATGTAAACATCAAATATCACCTCTTGAAAAAGAGCTTGTGCTGCTTCATAATCCTGGATGTCCTCATACAGTCGTGGTTCTCCCTCATCCAGAGCTGTGCGGAAGTCCCCAAACAACATGGGTTCTCTACACACGTAGTCTATGTGGGGCTTGAAGTTCTCCTCTAACAAGGCTGACAGCTTTTTCTGAGAAAATATAGAAAATCATTTTTTACTTTCAACTTTTTTGTTTCCATCCCAGAAGGTCACAGTTGAGGCTCCAGTGAGTCAACTGTAAAATCAACAAAATAATGGGTATACCACATAAATTCTCTGTGAGAACAGATGGGCTGATGAGTGTTAAAGCATGTTTTTAGCACTAAAAAAAAAGGTACAGGCATAAAATGTACAATAAGTGAACTGGTGTATATAAGTAAATCCAGTCATACATGGTGGGTTGTGTGGGATTAATAGAGTCAATAAAAATACACAAGCAGTTGCATTCTAGATACTGCATTTGGGGTGTGATGTGTAAGATTGTCATATTCAAGGTTATGGCATAAAGAAAGTGGGTGACTTTTATATTCCTAGAAGCTTTTCTTTCCCAGAAAATTCTTGGAATTAATCATCCATAAGGCTAGAGCCATTTCATGAGGCTAGAACCATTTCACGGAGGCTAGAACCATTTCATGAGGCTAGAACCATTTCATGGAGGCTAGAACCATTTCATGAGGCTAGAACGATTTCATAGAGCCTAGAACCATTTCATGGAGGCTAGAACCATTTTACGGAGGCTAGAACCATTTCATGAGGCTAGAACCATTTCATGGAGGCTAGAACCATTTCATGGAGGCTAAAACCATTTCATGAGGCTAAAACCATTTCATGAGGCTAGAACCATTTCATGGAGGCTAGAACCATTTCATGAGGCTAGAACCATTTCATGAGGCTAGAACCATTTCATGAGGCTAGAACCATTTCATGAGGCTAGAACCATTTCATGAGGCTAGAACCATTTCATGGAGGCTAGAACCATTTCATGAGGCTAGAACCATTTCATGGAGGCTAGAACCATTTCACATGGAGGCTAGAACCATTTCATGAGGCTAGAACCATTTCATGGAGGCTAGAGCCATTTCATGGAGGCTAGAACCATTTCATGAGGCTAGAACCATTTCATGGAGGCTAGAACCATTTCATGAGGCTAGAACCATTTCATGGAGGCTAGAACCATTTCATGGAGGCTAGAACCATTTCATGGAGGCTAGAACCATTTCATGGAGGCTAGAACCATTTCATGAAGGCTAGAACCATTTCATGAGGCTAGAACCATTTCATGGAGGCTAGAACCATTTCATGGAGGCTAGAACCATTTCATGAGGCTAGAACCATTTCATGAGGCTAGAACCATTTCATGAGGCTAGAACCATTTCATGAGGCTAGAACCATTTCATGAGGCTAGAACCATTTCATGAGGCTAGAACCATTTCATGAGGCTATAACCATTTCATGAGGCTAGAACCATTTCATGAGGCTAGAACCATTTCATGGAGGCTAGAACCATTTCATGGAGGCTAGAGCCATTTCATGGAGGCTAGAACCATTTCATGAGGCTAGAACCATTTCACGGAGGCTAGAACCAGTTCATGAGGCTAGAACCATTTAGCACATACCCAGCACAACCTGCAATATGCTGACGATGTAGTGTTGATTGCTGAAATTGAAACACAACTGCAAGAAATGACATATATAATTGTAGCAGAAAGTGAAAACAAAGGTCTTAAGTTTGAACAGCAGAAAAATAGAAGTAATGATAATTACAAAGAAAACTGACCCTCCAAAATGCAACATCAAGATAAATGGGATAAACCTTAAGCAAGTTTATATGCTTACGTACCTGAGTGCCCAGATAACATCAGGTGGAAGATGTATTAAGGAAGTTAAATGCTGAATAGCTCAAGCAAAGGCAGCCTTTTACAAAATGAAGAATATTGTATGCAATCTTTCTTTCTCAATTGAGACAAGAAAGAGAATTCTTGAAAGACAATAAATCCTATATTGATATATGGGTGTGAATCATGGACAGTTAGTAAATTAGTGAAAACTTATTTGGAAGCTTCGGAGATGCGGTTTTATAGTTGAATGATGAGAATACCCTGGACAGATAAAAAGAGTAATGAAGACATCTTGAAAGAAACTGTCTCACGAAGACAAGTGATTGCCCACATCAGGGGGAGAAAATCTACATTCTTTAGTCATGTGGTGAGAAGGAGAAAACTGGAGCACATTGTGACAGTAGTAAAGTGGGAGGGGAGGAGAGGCAGAGGGAGAGCAAGAGAACAGATGCTGGATGGTTTGACATCATGGCATGGAAGATCATAAAAGTCCGGGTTGATTGAAAGTACACGAGACACAAGGTTGTGGATAGACATGACTATCAGCACCACATGGCATGAACTTTAAGAAAAAAGAAGAACAATTTCATGGAGGCTAGAACCATTTCACAAAGGCTAGCACCATTTCATGAGGCTAAAACTATTTCATAAGACTAGAACCATTTCACACAGTCTAAAACTATTTCATGAGACTGCGACCATATCATAAGGCTAGGTCAACTTCAAAGCCAAAATAATCAGAATAAAAATTCTGCAGACGTAAATTTGAACAGACCCATCGCCTTGGTAAGCAAGCACTCAAATCATTATGCCAGTGTGACTCCAGGTTTCACATTATGCAGTGGGTCTATTCTTTTCCCACCCTTCACCCCCACTAAAATGGGTCCTGGGTCCTGGAACCCCACACAGTAGTACAATGCTAATACGTACTGTAATCACAGCCTTGTCCTCATCACTGATTAGTCTGTCACTGATGATCCTGAAGCATTCATTTCTCCAAAGCCTCAAGAACTGTTCAACTTTTGAGAATCGGTCTGGAGTGGAGAGGCAGAGACCATTGTAGATCCGAGACAGATCTCGCAAGTTGAAAATATAATGAAACTTTGATGGCGTGGGTGGCAGCTCCTTCACAACATGGCTGAAAATAAAAATGGCTGCAGTTAGAATAAACAAAGAAGAAATTACGAAATTAATCTAGCTCTGAAGTAATAAAGGTAGAACCTTAAACCACACAGAGAGGAGAATTAGAGACTGAGATGGGGAAAGGGGGTGAGTATACAATAGCAAAGGAATGATTCATGGACTAACTGGTAAAACCGTGTAAAAAGAAATTCCAAAGGATGGAAAATTTAGTTTGTTTTAAATTTCATTGTAACTGGGGACTAATAACAATATCATCATCAGGTGCCTTGCCGAGTGGCGTGGGCGATCATGCCTCTCCATAATCCGCGATCTCCTGCAGCATGTATCAGTTCGTGTGCCGACACACCTCCATGCCATGCAACAAGACTGTCAAGCATCTTCTCTCGTTGTCTTCCTCTATCCCTCCTTCCACAGATCTTTCCAGTGGTCACAACATGTTCTATTTTCCCTCTTCTCATAACATGGCCGAAAAATGATGACTGTCTCCTTCTGATGTCAGTGATAAGTTGTCTTCGGTCTCCCGCCTCTTTTAAAACCTCTTGGTTGCTCTTTTTGGCTGTCCAAGGTATTCTAAGCATTCTTCTGTAAAACCACATCTCTGAGGCCTCCAAAAATTGTTTGGCCTGCCTACCGATTGTCCAGGATTCACATCCATATGTTAAAACTGGATGTATGTAGCAAGCAAGAATTCTTTTTCTAACTCTCAATGACAAGGATATATTAATAACAATAATAATTAATAACAATATTAATAATAACAATAATACATCCTTATTGGGACCAACAGTTTGTTCATGTTAACTGAGTGTTATTCTTAACTGGGTTCTGTTTACAAGGTTTCACTGTTTTAAACTGACCATCTTTACTTCTCAGAACATTTCCTGGTACCAGTTTTTAGACTGGGTTAACTTTAATGCTTAGGTCAATTTTTAAAACAACCTCTGATTATTGACCAGGTACCAGCTGATTCAAGCACACAGGGCTAGAAAACTGGCTAAAGAAAGAGAGATTGCTTGATATATGATATTCTGTGTGCTACTGGGGCACTTGAGGGAAGCAAACAAAAAACAGTAACAGTGTACTCTCCCAAGCATGCCATAAGAGATAACTTAAGATAGGTTTGTTCTTAAGACTGGCATGTACAGTACTGACCCTTGCAGCTGACTGCTTGCATCAGTGGTGTGATGCAGTTACTGTGTGGGACTTTTAGCGTTGGCACATCTGACAGCTGCCATTTGCATCTACTTTGCATGGGCAAACTTAAAGATTCTGCTGGGACTGATACGATTTTCACAATTTTCAGGTGAGACAGTAAGGGGCAATTGTTTAATTTTGCTGGCGCAAGAACGGAAACGGGGCATTTATGAGGTGACTCATCTGCAGTGAAATTAGAATCCCAACTGATGACGTGATGTTGGTTACCCAGTTTTATAAAAAAAACTTCCACAGCAAAAGCCAACCAATTATATTCTTCTTCTTCTGTGTTCGACATCAGTCATGCTAGACATTGAGTCCCGTCTGGGTCACAAACAGGATTGTGCGTTTAAGGTCACCACCGGTCCCCCATAGCTTCTCTTTCAATGTGGCTCCCTTGGGCCAGATCCACAGTCTTTGCTTGGAGAGGTTATGGCAGTACTGTAGTATGTGCCCAGGGGTTTGTCTTTCTGCTCCACAATCACAGGCAGCAGATTCTTTTATGCCTATCCTGTACAGGTGTGCTTGAAGATCACAGTGTCCAGTCCGAAGTCTAAAAATTGTTGTTTGTTCTTTCCTGTTGAGTCCAACCAATTATAACCAAGTCTAGAAAGGTTGGGTACTGGCTGGTTAAGGTCCTAAGTCCCATTGAGCAATGAAGGGCAAAATAAGAAGACAACTTATACAACAAAATAATACACCAAAGTTACTGGCTAACTTAAAAAAAATATTTTCACAGGAAAAGTAATCAGTTACTAAAAAATATTAAATAAATTTAGGCAAAACTCTCACCTGTAAAGGTTCATAGTCATGTCTGTGACAATGGATGACAAATCTTGAAGTTCTTTTGTAAATGGCTGCAGGTGACCTTCAAGGATTGAGTTATAGATCTGGATGAGTGATTCTCCATCAGGGAATATCATGTTGAAAACAGAGAAAAGTGAGATGAAGCGAGGATCTGTTTCATTGCGGCCACCACCAGCCTTCCCCATGGCTGCAATATAACCCATGTCTTTCATGTTCTTCCAGTTGAGATCTTTGCCTCGGTCATACATGCCTCCACGCTCAAGGAGAAGCTTCAGCAGTGCAATGGGCTGTTGGGTTCCATAAGTATCCACCTGATAAATAGAAGACGTTCAGATGTACATTGCAGGGGGTAACAACATGTGAACTTTGGGCACAAAATGAAACTGAGGAGTTTCATTATTCAAATAATTACCACTTTTGGTACAAAACAACTCAACCTGCATCGACTAGGAACTCCTTACATGATATGGTTTTTTTCAACTTATTATACAGATTGACATTTTAAAAATCTGGCCATCGATAATCCGGTTCTTTCAGATTTCCAGCATGGATTTTGGATCACATTTTCAAATTTACCACAGTGGCATGCCACTGTTCTCTGGAGGTGTTGTTTATCTAAATTCTGATTAATTTTTTTTAAATTACAATTCTGCGGTACTGTTTTATTCAGTTAAACTAAAATTCTGTAGAATGGCTTTATTTAATTAATGAACATTAAAATTTCATTTGCTTTTCATTTAGTGATCAATTTTCTTTCTTTAAAGGCCATACCGGTAGTCATTTTCTGTTAAATATAGATAGCATATATAACCATAAAAAAAAAAAAAATAGGCACTTTCACAAATCCTTAAGACCGGAGCTGATCGGATTTGTTAACGTCAACCTGTATCCGAATCAGTTATTATATTTCTCAAATTCATTGGCAATTGTTTCTCTATTCCGGATATCAGATGGCTGTGAATCCTGGACAATCGGTAAGCAGGCCAAACAATTTCTTGAGGCCTTGGAGATGTAGTTTTACACAAGAATGCTTAGAATACCTTGGACAGCTAGAAAGAGCAACCAAGAGGTTTTGAAAGAGGTGGAAGCCCGGAGACAACTTTTCACAGACATCAGAAGGAGACAGTAATTATTTTTCGGCCATGCTATGAGAAGAGGGAAAATAGATCATGTTGTGACCACGGGAAATATCTGTGGAAGAAGGGATAGAGGAAGACAACGAGAGAAGATTCTTGACAGTCTTGTTGCATGGCATGGAGGTGTGTTGGCATATGAACTGATACATGCTGCAGGAGATCGCAGATTGTGGAGAGACATGATTGCCCACGCCAGTCGGCAAGGCACCTGATGATGATGATGAGGATGATTCCAGGTATCCAGTACTGTTATTATTTCATATTTGCTATATGAAAAATATACTGGTTCAAGTAACAGCTGGTTCAGACAGAATGAGTTACAGTAATAACTGTCTGATACTGAAAGAGTTAAAGATGTCTTAGCAGACATAGAGGAATTTAATGACATACAGAATCACCAAAACTGGGCAGCTCCCAAAGTGGGTAATTGCTCTTTGTGGAACAGTCAGGGGGCAGAGAGATATAGGTGAGAGACAGAGAGTGTGAGAGAAAAAGAGAGGGGTGAAGATAAAAAAGGTTAGGAAACATCCTGAAACAAAAATGTTATAATCATAAACTTAGAATGACTAAATGCTGGAAATGGAACCCACATGGAAATGATAGATATGAGACTAAAAAGTACATGAAGCAAACAATTTAAGACAGAGATGATTAATATGGGGAGGCATGGTGAGCTACAGATAAAATGATCAGGTATGAGTCGGTTCTGAGTTTGTTCTCAACAATAAAGAACAGGAGGAGAAGAAACCTAACTTTCTTTAAATAATGCAAATAACCCTCGCCTTGCAAGCTCTTTTTCCTCTTTTTAGCATTCACCAACTATAAACTCCAGAGGACTGTTTTGGTTGTTCATCCACTTCTGGACTTTAGTCTTGTTCCAGAACCTGAGTTCTGTGTGCTCATCCATTTGATAGATCTGAATTATTTGTATGCAGACTGTGCTTGCTCACCTCTCAGGCGACTGCATTCTGACTTCGAAGGAAACATCTTTAATTATTAAGCTATTAACTCTTTGAAGCCGAGCAACGCCGAATGTGTTGACTAAGATGTTCTGATTTGCCCAAACAACACTGTTGCGTTGATCATGTTTCCTGTACATACTAATTTGCATACAGCTCCATATTCATTTCTAATGTTCAGAACTACTATTAAAGTATTCAGGAAACGTTACTTGACGTTTTTCTTTGTGTACAAGTCTTTCTTCTACATTTTGGACACCAACTGGTCTCATCCATTGCTAACATCATTTTCAACAGTGGATTTTCTGATTTTATGTTTAGTATGACAATAGATACCAATGTTCAAACCTCAAGTACATGCCGCAAAATGTTTCTTTCTGCAGCTAAAGCTCTGATATTGTTTCAGTCAGATGTGGTGAATTTATACCAGTAGGAGCTGAGTGGTCAGCTGTTTGTTGTGATGAAGTAAACCCAGGAGTACCCATTTCATTTGCAAAGGATGTGACAGTCACCTACATGTGCATCCAAAGTACTTTTTCTGACGATACCATACTATGGCTAAGCTACAGTGAAATAATTGGGGTCCAAATGGAGCAATGAAATCATTGCAGCTACAGGCTGTGTATAACTGTATAAAGTAAATATTGTGTGTGCAAAGGTCAATTTTTGTGCCATTTCTTTCTTTGAAATTGTGTTTAACACTATGTGAGAACTTAGAGCACTCTGTGAGAACTTAGAGCACTCTGTGAGAACTTGGAGCACTCTGTGAGAACTTAGAGCCTCTGAGTGCTAAACTGACCCAGAAACTGATCTCAACTTTGGAACTTGCTGGAACATTGAACAAACTCTAAATGGTTTTTCTCAAATGTGGCTATCCACTGCTCTTGTGGCTACAAAACAATGGTAAGCAATTGTTCTGTAAAACTGTATATTTGCTAACTTAATACCTGCTGAACTCTTCTTTCCTACTAATTATAGCAGCATTAAAGAAAAACATATTATCAGATTCAAATTGTACATTCATTCCTCTTTTAAAAAAAAACATACTTTTGTAGGGATTAGAAATATATTCCATTCTCTATTGACATTATTTTACACCATTCCCTCTGCCATTTTAGTAAAAGGAAATCATTGTGAGCCATGTCTGTCAAAATTAAATGTGCCTGAAAGAGTTAAGACATAGTTGTTAGAGGGCAGTGAGTATAATCTTGTTTCCCACCCCCCCCCCACCCCCACCTACAATAGGGCCCAGAAACCCACCTAGGGAACCATACAAGCAAATCTGGACATGTTACTTGGGGCATGTTCATGTCATCAATGAAAATAATGAGCCGTTTGCCAGGTGGAGGTCCGTATGTGTCCTTGGTTCTCTTCTCAAGGTTAGACTCAATGTTACGCTGGATGTCCATAGATGTGGTTCGGGAAGAGAAGTTCATGTTCAGCAGCAGCTGTAAAAGAATGGGACGTGCTCAGCAGCAAATGAAGAAAAGTTCATGTTCAACAACAGCTACAGAAGACAAGTTCATGTTCAACAACAGCTATAGATGAGAAGTTCATGTTCAACAACAGCTATAACAGAAAAGTTCATGAGCCACAGCAGATATAGAAGAAAAGTTCATGTTACACAGCAGATATAGAAGAAAAGTTCACATTCAGCAACAGCTGAGATGAAAAGTTCATGTTAAACAACAGCTATAAAAGAAAAGTTCATGTTCTACAGCAGATATAGAAGAAAAGTTTATGTTCCACAGCAGCTGAGAAGAAAAGTTTATGTTCAACAACAGCTATAAAAGAAAACTTAATGTTCTACAGCAGATATAGAAGAAAAGTTTATGTTCAGCAACAGCTGAGAAGAAAAGTTTATGTTCAACAACAGCTATAAAAGAAAAGTTCAAGTTACACAGCAGATATAGAAGAAAAGTTCACATTTAGCAACAGCTGAGAAGAAAAGTTTATGTTCCACAGCAGCTTTAGAAGAAAAGTTTATGTTCAGTACAGCTGAGAAGAAAAGTTTATGTTCAACAACAGCTATAAAAGAAAAGTTCATGTTACACAGCAGATATAGAAGAAAAGTTCACATTTAGCAACAGCTGAGAAGAAAAGTTTATGTTCAACAACAGCTATAAAAGAAAAGTTCATGTTCCACAGCAGATATAGAAGAAAAGTTCATGTTACACAGCAGATATAGAAGAAAAGTTCACGTTCAGCAACAGCTGATGAAAACTTTATGTTCAACAACAGCTATAAAAGAAAAGTTCATGTTCCACAGCAGATAAAGAAGACAAGTTCATGTTACACAGCAGATATAGAAGAAAAGTTCACGTTCAGCAACAGCTGAGATAAAAAGTTCATGTTCAACAACAGTTGTAAAAGAAAAGTTCATGTTCTACAGCAGATATAGAAGAAAAGTTTATTTTCCACAGCAGCTGAGAAGAAAAGTTTATGTTCAACAACAGCTATAAAAGAAAACTTCATGTTCTACAGCAAATATAGAAGAAAAGTTCACGTTCAGCAACAGCTGAGAAGAAAAGTTTATGTTCAACAACAGCTTTAAAAGAAAAGTTCATGTTACACAGCAGATATAGAAGAAAAGTTCACATTTAGCAACAGCTGAGAAGAAAAGTTTATGTTCCACAGCAGCTTTAGAAGAAAAGTTTATGTTCAGAACAGCTGAGAAGAAAAGTTTATGTTCAACAACAGCTATAAAAGAAAAGTTCACATTCAGCAACAGCTGAGAAGAAAAGTTTATGTTCAACAACAGCTAAAAAAGTAAAGTTCATGTTCCACAGCAGATATAGAAGAAAAGTTCATGTTCCAGAGCAGCTATAAAAGAAAAGTTCATATTCCACAGCAGCTATAGAAGAAAAGTTCATGTTCCACAGCAGCTAAAAAAGAAAAGTTCATGTTCCACAGCAGATTTAGAAGAAAAGTTTCTATTAAGCAACAGCTATAAAAGAAAAGTTCATGTTCAACAACAGCTATAAAAGAAAAGTTCATGTTCCACAGCAGATAAAGAAGAAAAGTACACATTCAGCAACAGCTGAGATGAAAAGTTCATGTTCAACAGCAGCTATAAAAAAAAAGTTCATGTTTCACAGCAGATATAGAAGAAAAGTTAATGTTCAACAACAGCTTTAAAAGAAAAGTTCATGTTCCACAGCAGCTATAGAAGAAAAGTTCATGTTCCACAGCAGCTATAGAAGAAAAGTTCATGTTCCACAGCAGATATAGAAGAAAAGTTCAACAGCAGCTATAAAAGTAAAGTTAATGTTCAGCAACAGCTGAGAAGAAAAGTTCATTTTCTGCAGAGATATAGAAGAAATATTCATGTTCATTGGTAGATGTAGAAGAAAAGTTCATTTTCAACAGCAAATATGCAAGAAAATATTTTTCTTTCAGCAGCAGATATAGAAGACGTTTACTATCAGCAACAGATATAGAAGAGAAGTTTACAATCAGCAACAGATATAGAAGAGAAGTTTAGGATCAGCAACAGATATAGAGGAAAACTAAATGTTCATAAGCATATCTAGCAGATGACAATGAAAATTTCATATTCAGAACCAGATTTAGAAAAACCGTTATGTGTTGACTATGTTGCAGTTTGCCCTTGCCACGAGTCTTTTGTTTTGCACACCGACTAGGACTCCAGAGGAAACATTCAGATGTATTTGTGCACTTTTTTTTCCCAATAACTTTCTAGTCATAGTTTGTTTTGTGTTTACAAACTTTTTTATACCAGCTCATTTGCAGGAATTAAAAAAAAATGTCTTTACATCATCTCACTTTTTATAGACAAGATACGCTTTATTTTCTCTGTGTTAATTGGCTGTAAACAGTGGCAGAAAGTTCTGGTTGTTCTTCCACTTCTGGAATTTGGTCTTGTTCCAGAACTTGAGTTTTACATGCATGACTAATTTACAGATCTGGCTTAATTGTTTGCAAACTACTGGAACTTTACACCTTCTTCTTCTTCTTCGCGTTCACCAGCTGTACACTCTGGCGGAAGGTTCTGGTTGCTCGTCCACTACTGAACTGCAGTCCTGCTCCAGAACCTGAGTGTTGCGTGTGCATCAGTTTTACAGATCTCATTCTCTTGAATACAGACTGTTGGTTCCTTGCCTCTCTGGCAGATGCACTCCGACTTCAAAGGAAGCTTCCCAATTAGTCGACTCTTACGACATGCTTTTGGGGAGGCAGTGGGTCTATTCTTGTTTTCCCCACAATGGGGCCCCGGAATCCACACGGGGGACTTTACACCTCAAACAGATGTACTGTTTTCTAAGATTAGGTTAGTTGGGTATCCTTTACAGGACGTTGCAGAACCAACCCCAGCAGCCCCTGGCTGTTGTGTGGTTTCTCTAGGCAAATGTACGTCCAGTAGTTTGCCATTGCTTTCATATTGGGTTGGCTCCCTGATACCACTGTTGAAACCAACTCAAGGTGCATGGCCCGCAGCTCGGATCAAACCTGGCACCCCGGCATTAGGAAGCGTTCGCATCGACTTAGCCACAGAGCTAACGTTTTCTAAGGAAACACCCTTAAATTAGCAGACTTTTAGGACATGATAGTTAGGGGTTGGCTGTTGTCATTCTGTGTAGATGTTTTTAAAAAAAAGTAGAAACCTTTTTCCACATCTTTAGGTGTATTGGGCATATAAGGCTGGACCTATATTTTACAGACCAATCAGCACTGGGTAGGTGATGAGGTTGATATCACGCCAGCCACCTTTACTTCCCTAGACTTTACCTGGTACCAACCTAAGGCTGGGTTTACCTGGCAGCCAAGGTCTTTTTTTTAAAAGTCCAGCTCCATCAGGACTTGAACCTATGACCTTCAGATCTGCAGGCCAGCGTCTAACCGCTACACCACTGTGGCTTCTGTGTAGATATATAATGTCTTTAATTTCATTAATCCATCATCTTCTTTGGCACTCTCTTGCTGTCACATCAGATCGTTTTACCAGTGTTGTTAACTGGTGTGGTTGCATTCTAACAAAACAACCAAACCATGTGAACTTCTGTTTCTGAATTAATTTGTGTGTTTTGCAGGGATGGCCAACCTTTTAAGGTCTGAGGGCTATTTTTCATTTTAGAAATCAGTGGCAGTGTTTGTTATAGATGGTATAACTATAATATCCTAGAACAGACTATAAAAGACTATAGCCCTATAAGTGCTAAATACAACATAACATGTGACGTGAAAGCTCAACAAAGCAAATGGAAAAGATGCCCACATATACAAACAAACGTTTCGAACAAAGTCTTTTGCTAAATAGAACACAAAATTAATATGATAAGAAGGCTCAACAGAGGAAATGCAAAAGATGCAAACAAATATAAACTAATATTTTGACCAAGTCTTTTGCTAAACACAACTTAAAATTTAATGAGAAAGCTCAATGGAGGGAATGGAGAAGACACACACACAAAACAATTGCTAAATTCAAGATAAAATGTGACTTCTTGTCATCAACTTGATTGCAATCACCCCGTATTTACATTATAACACTATAATACTAGTCAGAAATCAATAACAATTTTCAGTACAGACGATATAACACAGCCCACTGTGGGCTACCTCTCCCAACATGCTGGTCAACAGGTTGGTTTCCCCTCCCCAATGTAGAGAACTACAGTGAAGTATTCAACTACAGTTATGGCTAAACATAATAAAAATGATAACACTTACATGTTGCTCTTGGTTCAAAGTTCGCAGAAAGTTTGCAATAGTAGCTGTCTTGGATGTCCCAGTTTCACCAACAAGAACAACTGGCCGTTTTATTTGGACCATCAGTCCCAACAACCATGTTGCTCTGACTGTATCAACTGTTGGTACCAGGATTTCATAAAACCTAAGGTCAGGATTGTGCACGTACTTTGGCACCAACTTTGACCAGGGGATCCACTTTTTCTGCTCTCCATCATAGAAGTAGTCATATAGTGTGCATGCTGCAGGTAGTTCACCTAGCATAAACAAAATTACATTGGAAATGTCACTTGGTAAGTTTTACATTTTTTAGAAGTATTTTAATAATAAATGTTTACTTAACATACCAGCAAGGAAATCAAATCAACATTTTGAGAGCATGCCTCTTCCCTGTAGCAACATATGGATGTGAGTCTTTGACTATCAGGCAGTCCTTAAATAAGAAAATAGTGGCTTTTTTTATATGGAATGCTATAGAAAGATTCCAAGAATATCATGAACAAAGAAGAAAAGAAATAATGACAACTTAAAAGATCTAAAACATCAAAGCATGATTGGCTAGTAAACAGAATTTTGTCTCAGATACTGAAATATTGTGGCCATATAAAGTACCAAGGCAGATTGTAAAAAAAAAAATAGCAGAAAGTAGGGTACCAGAAAGGAGTGGCAGCAGCCATCCAGCATGAAGATGGGCACAGGATCTAAGTAACACCTTAGGTAGGAAATTGTAGGAGGTGGGAGAGCTGGCCACAGACTGAGTTTATTTCAACCAGACCATGATGAGAGCAAAATGCAGCTAAGGAGCTGCTCCAAGATGAATAAACAGTCTTTTTTCACACCATTGGCGCCCTGGGTATCTGGTGCTAGACAGACTGACATTCGCTGGGTGATGTGATGCTAGACAGACTGGCATTCGCTGGGAGTGTCATGCTAGACAGACTGACATTCGCTGGGAGTGTGATGCTAGACAGACTGGCATTCGCTGGGAGTGTCATGCTAGACAGATTGACATTCGCTGGGAGTGTCATGCTAGACAGACATTCGCTGGGTGATGTGATGCTAGACAGACTGACATTCGCTGGGAGTGTGATGCTAGACAGACTGACATTCGCTGGGTGATGTGATGCTAGACAGACTGGCATTCGCTGGGTGATGTGATGCTAGACAGACTGGCATTCGCTGGGTGATGTGATGCTAGACAGACTGGCATTCGCTGGGTGATGTGATGCTAGACAGACTGACATTCGCTGGGAGTGTCATGCTAGACAGACTGACATTCGCTGGGAGTGTGATGCTAGACAGACTGGCATTCGCTGGGAGTGTCATGCTAGACAGACTGACATTCGCTGGGAGTGTCATGCTAGACAGACATTCGCTGGGTGATGTGATGCTAGACAGACTGACATTCGCTGGGAGTGTGATGCTAGACAGACTGACATTCGCTGGGAGTGTGATGCTAGACAGACTGGCATTCGCTGGGAGTGTCATGCTAGACAGACTGACATTCGCTGGGAGTGTGATGCTAGACAGACTGGCATTCGCTGAGAGTGTGATGCTAGACAGACTGACATTCGCTGGGTGATGTTGTCAAGATGAGGCTGGCACCTTTGCTTTCTGAAACATTTATTGGTGCATATTTAAGGCTGGGATGACCTGGCAGCGAAGCTCAATTATTTTTTTTAAATCGCACTTTGGTGCAGCTCCAAGCCTAAGACCTTGGGGCCGGCAGTAACGCCCTCGCAGTTCTGAATAATTAATCATGCTTCCAGAAAAATAGTTAGATTACTTGATAAAAGCAAATTAGATCATTATACATCCATCAAAGTATCCTCACTAATGTGCAACTACAAGCATGGCCACAAATGGCTTGGCCACTGTGCAACAGCGACCCTTGGTGTCCTCAATCTTTAAATCTAAATAGTTTATTTCCAAGCAAAAATCTAAATATCACCAGTTTTCAGACGATCTTCTGCAACCTCAAAGCAAAAATATTTATAAACAAATTCCTCTATCTACTCTTATTATCATGGATTTCTAAATAATGTAAAAGAAAGATTTTGTAATAATGTGATATTATTTGATAAAATATTATGATCATGACCATAAGTAATACGATATCTTGCAGACTAACTAAAAAAAATGTTACTTTGTATAATATTCTGATCTCAAGTGAAATATTACTTTGCAGAATACTGTGACCATGAGTTAAATATTACCTAGTAGAACACTGTGACTATCACACTGTGAAGCACTGAGACTAACTGAAATATTACTTTGTAATATTTTTTGACTATGTGAAATATACTTTGTGAACAAGTAAATATTACTGATCTCAAGTGAAACTATGCAGACTTTGTAGAATACTGTGACCATGAGTAGCTAAGTGAAATATTATTTTTGCACCTGTGAGTAGCTAAGTGAAATAAGAACACTGTGAGACTAAGTGAAATATTATTTTGCAGAACACTGTGAGTAGCTAAGTGAAATATTATTTTGCAGAACACTGTGAGTAGCTAAGTGAAATATTATTACTTTGCAACACTGTGAGTAGCTAAGTGAAATATTATTTTGCAGAACACTGTGAGTAGCTAAGTGAAATATATTTTGCAGAACACTGTGAGTAGCTGAAATATTATTTTGCAGAACACTGTGAGTAGCTAAGTGAAATATATTTTTTGCAGAACACTGTGAGTAGCTAAGTGAAATATTATTTTGCAGAACACTGTGAGTAGCTAAGTGAAATATTATTTTGCAGAACACTGTGAGTAGCTAAGTGAAATATTATTTTGCAGAACACTGTGAGTAGCTAAGTGAAATATTATTTTGCAGAACACTGTGAGTAGCTAAGTGAAATATTATTTTGCAGAACACTGTGAGTAGCTAAGTGAAATATTATTTTGCAGAACACTGTGAGTAGCTAAGTGAAATATTATTTTGCAGAACACTGTGAGTAGCTAAGTGAAATATTATTTTGCAGAACACTGTGAGTAGCTAAGTGAAATATTATTTTGCAGAACACTGTGAGTAGCTAAGTGAAATATTATTTGAAATATTATTTTGCAGAACACTGTGAGTAGCTAAGTGAAATATTATTTTGCAGAACACTGTGAGTAGCTAAGTGAAATATTATTTTGCAGAACACTGTGAGTAGCTAAGTGAAATATTATTTTGCAGAACACTGTGAGTAGCTAAGTGAAATATTATTTTGCAGAACACTGTGAGTAGCTAAGTGAAATATTATTTTTGCAGAACACTGTGAGTAGCTAAGTGAAATATTATTTTGCAGAACACTGTGAGTAGCTAAGTGAAATATTATTTTGCAGAACACTGTGAGTAGCTAAGTGAAATATTATTTTGCAGAACACTGTGAGTAGCTAAGTGAAATATTATTTTGCAGAACACAGTAGCTAAGTGAAATATTATTTTGCAGAACACTGTGAGTAGCTAAGTGAAATATTATTTTGCAGAACACTGTGAGTAGCTAAGTGAAATATTATTTTGCAGAACACTGTGAGTAGCTAAGTGAAATATTATTTTGCAGAACACTGTGAGTAGCTAAGTGAAATATTATTTTGCAGAACACTGTGAGTAGCTAAGTGAAATATTATTTTGCAGAACACTGAGTAGCTAAGTGAAATATTATTTTGCAGAACACTGAGTAGCTAAGTGAAATATTATTTTGCAGAACACTGTGACTTAATTATATTTTCTTTATACCGTGTGAACACTGGAGAACAACTTACTCAAGAATTCCTTCATTTTCTTCAGATATTTTGTCCGAGCAACTGACATTAAAAACATGAAAGTTAATTATTTTTTATTCATAAAATAAAATAAACTAAAGAAATATTGTTGGTATATTGAAAATAAAAATTATTAAAAAAAATTTGAATCTAAAGGAAACAGTTTGGCTGTTTTACTGCTTGATTTGCATCTTTTAACCTATGGCTTGATCTGCACCACTGGATGGTGACATGATACATGACAAGGCAGAGGGGGTCAAGGCCATTTGGAATTAAGCAAGGGAATTAGTAGAGAAACAAGATTATTAAGGCCTGGAGAGAGTAAGGTATCTGGGTGTAACCAGAGAGTCTTGCCGGCTCACTACATGCAGAGGAAAGGCAAGACAGACATATAACAAGATTGTGACTGGTACCTTCAGTATTGGAACTCTCCACTGGCTGCTGAAGATGAAGACGGAGCATGCATGGAAATGCCCCGAGTGCTGTGATGTCAATTCTTGACTTAACTCAACTCAAACTATCAATATTGTATCTCTGAGGGGCTGGATGATAGTTAGAATGTTGGACTCTTAATCTTGTAACTGTTTTTCTAATTGTCAAGAACCAAAAAATAATCCTAATTTGCACAATTTGGACTAGTCAGTCGGTGATGAAGTCCTAGGCTTAAGATCCCTCAGTCCTTCATTTTCCTAAAGGGTGTTAAATATAGGCAGTAAGGACAGCTTTTAAAAAATAACTCCACATGGGTTGTATTTTTTTTTAAGCTAAATTTTATCCAAGTTATTTAACTACTGAGGTGTTCATATTGTTCATTTCAATTATTTTCATTATGTCTGTTCTTTTCTAGCTAATATGATTCCTGGTATTTCATATATGTTTGTTTCAACGTAGTTTTATTTTACACATATTGTTTAAATGAAAGCTTATGAAAGTAGAACATTATATACAACAATGAAAAGGAGACAAAGTTCTTTCATCATGTGAAGAGAAAAAGAGCACTGGAATATACTGTGACAAGTGGAAAAAAATCATTGGTAAAAGAGGCCAAGGCAGACCAAAAGAAACTATGGTAGATGGCTTAAGACAGTGGTATGGAGGAATATCCTCAGTGGAATTGATCCAGAGCACCAAAGACTGAGATCTGTGGAGATGCATGAGCGCCTACGCCAGCTGGGAAGGTAGTTGATGATGACGATGATGTTTAAATGTATGTTCTGCATTATAAGGTTCAGATTTGTTTATGAATTATTAGTGAGTTTCCGATACATTCTCTGTAATGACAACTTAATTATTTGTATAATAATACTGTTTTCTGAGCTTACTCAGTGATATTTAGAGCAGAAAAATAAATTATGTACAGAGCTCTGGCTCTGCACAACTTGGCAGAATACTGATGAACAAAAAGGCGGACATGGTTAAGGCCTTATGTACAAGTCAGATCAGCAAAGTTATCATCATTTTCTGGTGACAGCGATGCAGTGAGGAGTGACGAGGGGATGTGGCTGATACTCGAC